ATAAATATTAATTTGAAATTCTAAAATGACAGAAAGTGATGAAAATTAGGATGAGAGGTATAAAAAGATTGGTCATAATGACTATAAAATCCGATAAAATCCATTTGTAATTCTAGCTAAGGCGGAAGAATTATTCTAAGATATGAAGTAAGGTCGACCTTCGCCCATATGCTTACCGGATGAAAGTTTTTTTATTAAATAAAATATGTTTATAAATATGCTGCAAATGGGTTGCTTAAGAAAATACTGTCGACAATTTATTTTCTTAAAATAAATTAAATCAACAACACGCTATAAAGTATCCCCCAAATGCTTTGACTGTGCCCAAAATTTAAGCAGCTCACCGTAGGATGGATTAAAGCTTGAGTTTAAAATTTGGTGTTTTTCTCTTCAACCGTTTTTGAGTTATCGTCAAAAATCGAAATTCGCACTTTTCCTCAAATATCTCGAATACGGTCCATTTTAAGAAAGTCATGTATAATACAAAAATTATGGAGAATAACATCATAAGAAATTTTTATTATGATTCTTATACTTTCCTTATATGTATATAGAAAGGAAAGTATGTTTTTAGGCAACCCATTTACGGCATACGGCAAAAATCGACCTTACTTCGTATCCTGCACTAAATATTCTTCCCAAATATATGGTGGGAACTTTTAAAAATAAGTTCCTGCTTAGTTTTAGAGTTTTTGAGAAAAAGATTTGTTAAATAAATAAAAATTATTTTTTTTTTTAGATAAAACTACGAATCAGGAGGAGCAAGTAAGAAAGTGTGTACTAGCAGAAAATAATGATGAAAATTTAATCTTTAACTGCCCAATTCACATCGGTGAAATAAGGTCTTGTAAAATTTGTGATAAAGATTTTTGTACGTGATTATAATAATAAGAAATATTTATAGTTATTAATGTATAATAAAAATTAAAAAGCTCTTATTTGATTTTACTTTTTACTTGCGAACTTTTACGTATAGGCCAAACGAAAACGAAACAACCATTTTTAGAAGCTGCGTCATTTTAGACAAACGCAGGGACCCATCAATTTTTTATTGTAGGTACATCTGTCTATCAAATCCTAAACGTCATTGACCCCTGCACCCATCCCCCATAAAAAATTAACTTAAATAATTGAAAACCTTGCAGAAATCTAACATTAATCGCTCCATGCATCACAGCAGCGCCAAATTAATATGTACTAAAGGGCCAACTTTGCGTGTATTAACAGCATCGTTTTGAACCACTTAACGTACATGTCCGTGTCGGAGACGAGCGCGTCTTACTGTCAATTTTCTACACGCTCGACTGGGACACGGGCAACCATTATATTTACTCACAAATTTTTATTAGCTCGTTTCAGATGCGAGCGTGTTCTAATAAATACTTCTACATATACCTATGTCAATAAAATATTTTTGAACTAATTTTGTTTCCTATATAAACAACAATAAATACTGACTATCCCGCTAGTAAAAAATATTGATTACGGCACTGATAATTATTGAGATAAAGTATAATTTATAATACCTAAGCCCATTATACATTTGTACATACACCATATTCGCTCCGTGCGAAGTCATGGAAAGGGAAGCAAAAGCGATACTAGCGCTAGCTGCGGATAATTCGTGCATTTTAGGGCGATATTTTGTAATTTTGGCATATCAAATACACGTATACATTTTACTTTTTTTCAAAAAAAGTAGGTGAAAACAATACAATAAGCAACCTGAGTTGCTGTGTTGAAAATTGTACAAATACTAGCAAAAAAACAGTGAAACTTATATAAAAAATTTCAGTAGCAAAGTGGAAATTAAATCAAAGAAATAAATAGATAGATATACAATAAGAAGAAAAATTACCTTTATTTTTGTAATAATAACCGTAATACTGCAAATAGTAGACATCAGAAACTTGAAAGGTTTTAAATAAACAATAAATTATCATTTTACCATGTTCTTTAATATCCCTTATTCTTAAATGTTCATTCAGCAAGGACTAGATTTCAAGATTTCTGCCTTTGATTATTATGTGTGGTTGGAACGCAATTTTGTAACTTACTGATGGGAAATCAGTTTTAATCATTCATTCTGTTTTCTTTCGAACAAAAATGAAAATATAAGTAATGATCCTTTTTTTATACATTTTAACTTCACGCTATTATTAAATGGTATTTTTTTATTTTGACAGAATAGACTAATTCTTCAATGAAAACTTATTAGACTTAGGCAAATTCTCATACATTTTCCAGTAAATACTGTTGCCTGTCTATATTTTATTATTGATTTTTATCGATTATACAAAATTTTTTTTAATTTAAGCAATAAAAATATATAATAATAATAAATTAATGTTTTACTTGTTTTACAAATCCATATACTTTTATTAAAACTACTATATATGCTTTTTAATTACGAATTCTATTAAAAGTTGCATTTGTCAGTGCACGCAGAAATAGTCCATTAGTATCAAAACGAATTGGCGCTGCTGTCGCGCACGGAGCGAATAAGGATATGTAACGCATAAACAAATAATATTTAAGAAAATACAAATTATAATTTCGCCCTTCCCCCCTCACACTAAGTAAAGTACAGTTTCTACGCCACTGAACATATTTTTTTTTATTTTAATAATAGCCCAAGAGCCCACTGCAATTTTTTACCCTCATCTGATAATGAAATGAAATATTCCCCAAAAGCATGTAAAAACATTGTACTTTACCAAATGGCACCTGTGCCAATCCCAATCCTGAGCAAAGTGGTCGAAAAAAAATATTTTACATTAAAAAAATCACATTAGGCATAAAAGGCATAATTTTGTTTGCCCTTAAAGTTTTCCAGAAAATAATATATTCAAATAGATCTTGATATATATCGTTAAAGGGAAACATTTTCTTCCTCTTAACATCGCACAAAAACATCTATCCACGATTAGTAGGTAAAAATCATTAAAAATATGAATCAATTTTTGCTGATTTAAAAATGTATTTGTATGCCTATTGTTGTTATTCATTTTTACAGGTTGTCATAGAAACGACAAAAAACTACTATGATTATGATTTAAAAGAATTATGTAACAAGAGTTTATAATTATTATTGACTATCTCTGCAAATGGTTCTTTCTTTTACACATATACATGGTTTAAAAGTTAGGTAAAAATATTAATAATTCAGGTTTAAAAGCTAGGTTCACAATGAATTAAGATTGTAATTTTCAGGGAAAACACAATGGTCGCTGTCATGTCTTATGTGATTTTTTGAATATAAAATAATTTTTTTTAATCACTTTGCTCAGGATATGGATTGGCACAGGTGCAATTTGGTAAAGTACAATGTTGTTACATGCCTTTGGAGCATATTTCATTTCGTTATCAGATGACGGTCGAAATTTGCAGTGGGCTCTCTTACTATAAGTATAAACATTTTTTTACCAAAAAATCAAAATAAATGTGTACATTAAGTGGTTAATAGAATTCGTAAATAAAAAATGTATTTTTTGGTTTTAATAAAAAAATGTATATTGATTTATAAAACAAGTCAAAGATTCATTTATTATTATAAAAATATTATTAAAACATGTGCACAGAACAGGTAATTAGGCAATAGTATTTACGAAAAAGTGTATGAAAAGTTGCCTAATGAAGATAAAGGTTAATGTCAAACGTGTATTCAAAATTTATTCCCAAAAATAGTTGTAATTTTCGAATGAAAATTATTCGCTCCGTGCGTGACGACAGCGCCAATTAAAATATATGTACTAAAGGGGGATTTTTCGTGTATTGACAGTATCATTTTTAATAGAATTCCTAATTAAAAAATGTATTTTTTGCTTTTAATAAAAGTATATTGATTTATAAAACAAGTAAAAAGATTTAATTATTATTATATATTTTTATTACTTCAGCTAAAGAAAATTAAATATATTTAATAAAAAAATTATTAAAACGTGTACACAGAACAGGTAATTAGGCAACAGTATTTACGAGAAAGTGTATGGAAAGTTGCCTAATGAAGTTGAATGTTAATATCAAACGTGTATTCAAAATTTAAACAAAAAAAATAGTTGTAATACCTATTTTCGAATGTAATGTATACTTGTTTTCTTCATTTTCATAGAATTAATTATTAATTAACTGTTTTCCAATAAGTCAGTCAGGCAGAAATATTTCGATTTTGAACATGTACTTAAAGAATTTTGAAGAACATCGTAAAATAATAATTTAAGTATATAAAACCTTTCAGTTTTCTGTTGTCTACTATTTTCAATAGGTATTAGATACTCTTGCTACAAAAATAAAAGTTTGTAATTACTTTTCCCTTTTTACTGCATTTATATAGGTACGTACCTTACCAAGGCACATTTTTTTTGGGGGTTGAAGAAGATAAAAAATCAACTGGATTATTTTTTATGTATATAAAGTATGAAAAGTTGGTATGGTATGTAGATTTTGCAAACCGTGTTTAGATTTAAAACCAACTGTCTGTGCTTTGCGAGAGTAGCTCCCATTTGGATATTATCTATTATACGCACAGACTACAAAAAGGCCAATGTTTTCTACTGAAAGGATATAATTTCATATCCATTCTAATAAGGACACTGAACGGATACAAAATCCACCATCAGTTCACATTTGGTGACATGGCCATACATACTTAATTAACAATTCTGACAAAATAATGGTCTTTATATTTTTTAGTTATTGAGATTAAATATAATTAAAACTGAGTGATTCTTCTAAAGAATCGATAAATAATAATATCCCACAAGGTATTCGTCTATATTTACAAATAAATCCTAAATTTTAATAAAATTTTACTTTATTGTTTCATCTGATGATCAGTACTAAAAAAAAAAATGCTGTCTCATCAGTACAGAGAGAGCTGAGTTTCATTGTGAAAGGTCCGAGGTTCTAATCCAGGATGAAGATCAATTAAAATCTTTTTTTTTTATTTTAGTCATGTTATTTTTGAAATGGGTATTTTATCTTTAAATTATTTTTTGTTAGTGAATCGTAGAAAAAACATGCTGTAGAACTCGAGAACGCACAGCACATGCCAACATTTTAAAGAAATTCAAGTATCTGGATTCCTCGGATGATCCAAGTCGGAAAAAAAAGAAGAACGAAGAACATGAAAAAGAAGTTGTTAATGACACAGTGACAGTGACATTTACATAACCTCATTTTTGGATTTTATTTATGTTTAGGTTCAAAAATGATATATTTTTGATGCAAAAATGACGACCCAAGACTTAGGAATAGTTGAAATATTATCTAGTCTCGAAGAAGAAAATTTAATGACACTCGCACGGACTGTAACACAAGGACTTTTAAAAATTAACTCTACCGAAGGTTAGTTATATTTTATACAAAACAAATAATGTGTATATATTTAACTATGTATTTCAGAGGCAGTAAAAGGAATTTTAAAGTATTCTCCTGACGTTTTAAGTATCTTAAGAAGAAAAGCTATAACTAGAGAAGTGTTGTTTTCATATTTAGATGAAAAAAATGTGGTTGTTAAATTACCGATTACCAAGAATGAATTGATAGATAAAATACTTGAGTGTTGGAACGTTTCACCTATATCTTCATCAAGATCTAATTCTAGTACAGACATTTCCCATCAAAAGCCACAAGAAACATCAACAGAAATTAGCAAAAAGGAAGATGCAAACAGTATTCAAGCCCTAGCTGAACAATTTGCCACCTGGTTCTATTCACTAATGAACAGCGAAGGTGTTGGAAGTGAACATTTCTACTCTGATGCAAAATTAAAAATAAACCTTTATGCAAATAACGATTGTGATTCAACCGTTATCGAGAATGATCCAGAGGATATTGCAAAACAATTATTTAAAGTTAAAATTCAACATAACCTTCTGTTTAATCCTAATATAAGTAAAGAGGGAACTCAAGGAAGGATGAATCCACATGGATTAGTCATGGTACTTGTGTGTGGGACGCTACATGTTCAAGAGACTTGTGTTGGTGTATTTGAACAAGTGTTTGCTTTGGCGAGAGATCCTTTTTGTGATAATAATTGGAAAATTAAAAACTCTGAACTGAATTTGCGAAGTCAGGGTCAAATTATGGGACAACCACGTTTGTGTGATAGTGAACTGACTTCTGGTCTATTATCTCTTCCTTCTAGTTAATTAACCTAGATTTCTTTAATATTTATTTTGTAATAAATAATAGTGTTATACTTTCCTGTTTTTGCATTAATTCTTCATTCTTTCTATGGACTATTTTGGTGAAAACAGATTCTTTTTTTTTTTTGTTAAAGAGGAACATAGTTTTGAAGTCTAGACCATTCAAAAACAGCTTAATTATAATAATTTTTTGATGGTATTCCAAAAATAAGCCATCAAGCAAAATCATAATTGGAGTTGGTTGTAAAATTTGATTGTTACTTTAGCTGCTTCTACAGAATGATGTATTTATTATCATGAAATAATAATATAAATCGTTTATTTAGTCAAAAAAACTATTTTTTACATGTCAATACATCTTCACATTTAAAATGTAAAAAATACATAAGTATAGAATCAATATACATTTAAAATACAATAAAAAATACATAAGATACAGTACACCTACATGTCAACAATACAAAACATAATAAAAGAACAAGAAAGAGAAAAAAAAACGTCAATTGGTCAACAAGTACTCATGCAGTTTTATTTTAAATATTGCCGCTATTGAAGAACATTTAATATCTTCGGGCAAATTATTAAAAGCCTGTACACCTTTAAAAAACACTGAATTTTGTGTACATTTTTTTGTGACCTTATAAACTCTAAAATTTTTCTTATTACATGTATTGTGTTCATGAACATCCTGATTATAACTTACAATATTTTGTAAATATACTGGGGAGATTCCTGATTTAATTTTAAATATAAAAAGTAGGGAATAGAATAACAAATATTTTTAACAGGCAACCACTGAAGCACATTCAACATGGTTCCAATCTCGAACAGCTTAGTATTATCCTCATACCTCTATTCTGCAACTTTTGCAATCGTTGCAACTCATTCTGGTTGAGCAAATACAATATAGTGGCACAATAATTAAAATGAGGTAATATTAGAGTATTATAAATTATTATTTTAGCCCATTTGCTGAGATGTGGAGAACAGCGCCTCAAATAGTTTATTTTAAATGATATGCTTTTGATCACGTTATTAGCATGTTCCTTAAATGGGCCCGTTCACTTTCATTTTTGAATGTGAATTAATTATATATTTATAAAGATATTAAACTCTTTTGTCTGGTGGTACTTTTCCCGTTAAGATATTTTTGCTAGAAGTAAGGGAATTCCCATAAAATTCTTTCAGTGACTCATTGCGTCAGAAAATCCCTAATTCCGTTCACGTCTCACATCGGTTGTGCTTAAAGACGGCGAGGTTGTCGGAAGTATCCCTAATATAGCATTTCTGCATTTATATATGTAATTTAAATAGTAAAATTCCATTATTTTTCTAAAAATCATGAACTTATATTTTCAGATTTAAAGCTGGGAGCTTATTTTTTACTTTTTAATTAAAACAATTATTATTACTCAGGCTGAAAATTAATCAGACCATAATCAAAAAGTAGAAATTTGATTTGCATTATTCATCTGGTAAACGTGGCAACGTTGCATTTATTTCTAGAAGTGTGTGTAGACAACACTATTTATGCCGCGTTTGAGAATCCACATCGGATGCATTTTTTACATCTCGAGCGTTTTTTTATCCACATCTGACACATCTGTCCCATTACATTTACGTATACTGAATCACGTGATCAAAGATTTACTACATCTCAGATGCATCCGATGTGGATTCTCAAACGCGGCATTATAAGTACTTACAACGTTGTCACGTTTACCAGATACATTTTCTCAAATAAAATTTCGATCTGGTAATATTCAGCTTGAGTAATACTAATTGTTTTTATTAAAATTTAAAAAAGGTAAGGCTTCCAGCTTTATCTGAAAATATAAACACATTATTTTTAAAAAATAATATATTTTTATCATGTAAATTTCTTTAATAAATGCAGAAGAGGAATGGTGGTGCAATGATACATCCGACAACCGCGCCCTTTTAACTATTAACCGATACAAGACCTGAAGTGAATTAGGGGTTTTCTGATGCAATGAGTCACTGAAAGAATTTTATGGGAATTCCCTTACTTCTAGCAAAAATATCTTAACGGGAAAAGTACCACCAGACAAAAGAGTTTAATATCTTTATAAATAAATAAATAATTCACATTCAAAAATGAAAGTGAACGGGCCCATTGTAAATTTGTATCAACCATAACCCCTAAATATTTAAATTTTTTCAACTCTCTGAAACTTTATTCCATCAACAGAAACACACTGTGATGCCCCCCCCCCCCCCCAATTAACATCCACTTTCTTTTCCTAATTAATTTTCAACGAGTTTCCGTTGCAATAATCATATATTTTACTTATAGCACTATTAATTTCTTTAAAACAAGTTTCAGTGTTTTCATGGGTAAAATATATCAGTGTATCATCTGCAAATAAGTGTATTGAGCATCTTTCGACTACACCAGCAATGTCATTAATATAAATTAAAAACAGTAGCGGACGTAGAACACTACCCTGTGGCACCCCCATATTATTCTCTATAGTATCTGAAACACAATTACTTACCTTAACCTTCTGTTTCCTATTTTCCATATAATGACCGAACCAGTCCAGTGCACAACCTCCCAAACCAATAGCTCTTAATTTTATTAATAATCTACCTCTATTAATAGTCTCAAATGCCCTCTGTAAATCTAAAAATACCGCCAGCCAAATTATTTTCAATTGATTACTTCCAGTCATGCAACACCAACTGTAAAGCAGTTTCACAGTTGTGTTTACTACGGAATCCTGATTGTACATTACCTATCAAACTGTCCCCCTCTAAATAATCAATAAATTGAAGATATATTATTTTTTCTATTAGTTTTTCAACAGAACTGATCAAATTTATCGGTCTTAAATGGGTAGCCTTACTTGGATTCGGAATTATTGTAGCAATCTTAATAATGTATCAAAACAAGAAACAAATAATTTGTTTAATATCGAAATCAAAATGTATGTGAAACTATAGAAATTGTTGAAAATGTTCATTTATGTCTAAGCACAAACCAACTCTTTCGCAATACAACAAAAACGTTATGCATCATTTGTAAGTTGATCTCTTTTCTGGTTATATGTACTATTGCATCGTCTTGTTGAAAATGCCCATTTTGTGTTCTTTATCATTCAGTTGATTTATTTACGGGCCAGTATTTCATTGCAATATTTAAAACTTTTAAGTATTTATAAGAAATTTTGTAATTTTACAATTAAAATGTAATGTTTTTATTAAACTATATAAATAAAAACATATTTGAATGCTTAAGATTTAAGTTAGAAGCTTAATCTTTCATTTATTATTTCTTGAAGCAACAGTAAGTGGAGTGTGTCTTCGATAAAAATGGGACCCACAATCTTCTTCTGCTTATTCCAATCCAAACACTAACTTTTTGGTGATGCAATGGTTCTTCAACAAAAATGAGGATTTTTAGTGGACCACCACCTCATATTCTGTGAATTAACACATCCAGACAGATAAAAAATCAATCAATCAATAACAAAAATTAAGTAAACTTAGCCCCACTTTAGGCTTCCAGAACTCCTTAGGGGTACAACTTGGTATAGAGGTAAATTGAGTTAAATCATCATATTTTGTGGTGTCCAACATGCACCTGTTCTGTATCGGTACTTATGCGGAACACCCTGTATATTCATTGCCAACGAAAATACTGAAAAAGTAAAATTTTATGCTGTTCCTCAAATTTTTCCATTATTTTCCATTTTAGAGAAATCATGTATACAATAAAAATTATAGAGCATGATATCGCAAACAACTTTGAATAATTTTTTTGAAAAACCAAGTTTTCGACGGATTTTTACGTTTGAGGAGTCCCTGAATCCGTTTCGACTATTTTCATATGTATGTACCTGTATACTTGATAACTCATAAACAGATGAGAAAAACACCAAATTTTAAACTTAAGATTTAATACATCGTGCGGTGAGTTGATTAGATTTTGGGCATAGTCGGAACATCTGAGGGGGTACTTTATAGAGGGTCGTTTTTCTACTTTATAGAATATATGTTATTTACGCTTGGAGAAGAAAATTTTTCAAATAAAAGTTGATTGTGATGTCATTCTCTATCATTTTTGTCCTATCGATAATTTTAATAAAATGGTCTGTATTCTAAAAATTTTACAAAAAAAGTGCAAAATGCGAATTTTTAAGAAAAATTTTCAAATTAAAGCCATCTATAATTCTTGTCCTAATACATGATTTCCCTAAAATGGACCATATTCGAGATATTTGAAGAAAAATGCAAAATTCGAATTTTGAAAACGCATAAAAAATTCAGATTCAAATAGTTGTTCAGGTTCAGATAAAAGTGATCCCGTCGAAATATTGGGTTACGGAGATGATTCTACTAGCAACTTTGATAAAAATCTACCTGAAACTGTTACTCTCTTAAGACTTAAAAAAAATGGTGCTAAAGTATATATTATGGCACATTTTAGTATATTTGTCAGTTATAAGCAGGTATAGTGTTATTTTTGGCCCAGAACACTGCGGTCTCTTGTATTCCTATGTTTCCCCCGTATTCAGATACTATCTTCGGAATAGTCACGTGCTTTTGGTTAGTTTTACCAAGTGTATTCCTGGGATGTTCTTCCCGAATCTAGGCCGAAAAGGGTAAGTGGCCGCTTAGCTAGAGCTTTGCATTCGAAAATCACATGGTATAAGGTTTCTTCCTCTTCCATGCACAGTCTACACGTGGTGGGACCATTGTGTAATCCCATCACATGTACTTTTGAAAAGTTGTATAAGGAAATGTAAGTAGTTAATTTGTTTTGTCCCAAAAATGACATCTCCTTATTCCCCGAAACCATGGAATTAAACCAAGAATATTTATTTACAGAAGATTATTTCTACAATAATAATAGAACAAACGGTCTATTATAGTGTGCTAAAATTATTAATAAAATTATAATAAGGAAATAGAAATAAAATTTAACACATCTTAAAGGAATTAAAATAAATAATAGTAATAAAAATTTACTTTTGCTGAATACGATTGCCCATTAACAAAAGAAATTGGAATGGTTTCAGGCGTTTGTTTCAAATAATATATCATATGGTTTGCCATAAAATATGTTCTTTCTTTAATTAGGTACCTAATGTACCGCGTATTGTAACCGCCCACCCTCCAGTCGATTCTTGAATTATCAAAGCATGTATTTAATAACTTTTCTTCCCTTTGTGAAATTTAAAGTAATTCATACTTACTGTAATAGGCTTTTTCCTCTAGCAGGGATCGTCTAGTTCAGTGTTACCAAAGTGTGCTCCGGGGAGCCCTGGGGCTCCGCAAAGCCTTTGTGGGGGTTCCGCGAAGAAAATAATAGTCATTACTTTTATTTGTATTTTTTTATGACTTCCTCATACTAGTAAGTTAAAATTTTAAATTACTTTATATTCATTTTTTTTGTGTAACTGTATTTTATTTTGAAGGCATGTTTAAATAAAATTATATTCATCTTTTGCATATTTATTTAATTTTGAAGACATGTTTAAATACAATTAAATTTAAATTGTTAAATCATATCGACCTAAAGTATAAACAACGTCCCTTCCCAGAAGGCCTCGATAAAGTGATAAAAATAAAAAGGTTGGGAAGCACTGATCTAACACATTTGAATTAGCGGACGTTGAGTGTATCGATTACAACGTTGCCAAGTTGTAATTACAATACGCCACTATGCGTCGACTGCTTTAAGAACACTTTTATTTTAAAAATCTATTTTTCTTTATCAAAACGGTAAAAAAATTCAGCGTTTTTCTAGAAAATTTTATAACTTCTTGATTTACATTAAATTAGTTTTTAAAAAATATGGTAAGAACCGTTTTCGAGATATCTTGAAATAAATGCAATGATTATGTACATGACAGGGCTTCAAGAGTGTTAATTATGCACATTTTAATTGTTAATATCTCGTTTTACAGACGGTCAAAAATGTTTAGGTACATAAGAGACACTGTCATTAACCTCATATTTCAATTTTATTGAATTCTTAAGAAAGGCCGTTTTACGAGTGAACTACCTTAAAAAAAGCAAGTTAACTGTTTTAATGATTATTACTTTGTGAAAAGAAATATGTCTTATGGTCGTTTCGAGTTGGGTTCCCAGACACAAGAAAATTAGATCTTATGCGGACAGTTATTGATTTTGTTTGGTTTCGTAAATAAGATTTAATTATCTAGGAGATTTTTCGTTAAATGAAGGATTTTGAATTGAATAAAAATGCAACTTTTCTTTAACTATGAAGATACCTGGGTGCGGTAGGTTACAATATAAAAGTAACAATGGTATTGCCTATTTTTATTTACTTACCTTTGAAACGACGTGGATCTTTTAAATGTATGTTTAAAGAAAAACGAAAACATTCAATAGTAATTTTTATACTTGCAATAAAATTCGTTAAAAAACATACCAGTAAATTTTAAATATATATAAAATCAAAAGAAATTTACCATCAAAACTGACAATTATTCCTAATTCCGATTTCACTAAATTTGCTACTGCAATTTAAAATCGACGAATCACATCAAGGAATGTATTATTTCATTTATCTGAGATGTTCATTAAGTCTAAATTAGCATAAACTAAATAAAAAAACTTCCAAATGATGTGAACTTTTGGAACAAATAACCTTTAAATAAAAATAATTTCAATGAAACCAATACAACACATTTTTGGTAATATTTTATTTTACAAAAACTTACAACTACGCGAACTTTAAAACTTAACGCATAACTTATTTCTCTTAACCCTAAAGTAGCTAATATTTACAGGGGTAATATTTAAATGATATCAATCACAGACATGTTTTTTAATAGAAAAATAAGAAGCTAATAAAATTTAGCTCCGAGTAATAAATAACAAAAAATAAAAAGTTTCTCAGTATAAGCAAATCAAGTCTTATTACTTCATTATTTTTTTAAAGCGAACATTAAAAAAAGTTTAAAATAGTAATTAAAGGTTCACAATCTTAAAAGTACTCATGATCCGGGAAATTGTCGTTCAAAAAATTATCCACCGATGGAATGATATTTTCCAACTCGAAACTGTCCACACTAAAATCGTCCAAAATAAAATCGATGGCGTTCAGTTCAGGTCAAGAATCGATCTCGATAATCGGCGGTTCGGCGTCGCACTTTTGCAATGCGACGATCGGATTCAAATCGAATATCTTTCCTAGTTTATCGGCGGTCATGTCCAAACAAATCCCATTGATTTCTACGGTCGTCATTATTTTGAACAAGTCTTCTTTTTCTGCGCTTCTTCCATAGTAACTAAACTCTTCCATCGGTGGTACGTAGCGAGTCGACGTCGATTTTTTGGCGACTGTTTTTCCTTTGACTTCCTGACGCGCAGCGTTTGGGTCTGGTATCGGCATCGCTTCGCTATGAATGATCCTCATGCATTCCTGGAATGATTCTTCTGCGTCTTTATCGTATATTATATTTTCTACTAGTCCCGTGTGGTTCGTTCGGAAATGGGAAACTGAGTCTGTTTTAGTTTTGGATCTGTAAATAAAAATATTAAAATGTAATTAATTATTAGTCATACGGAATAAATACGATAGATAGATATACACAGTGTGAAAACTTATGGAATAAAATAATTTTTGGCCTTACGAGCCCTAACAACTAAATGTTCATCAGACTGCAGGTCGAGTAAGGTCAGAAAACATGTGCTCTGTATTTCAAACCAAATTTCAGTAGAAAAAAATTAACAGAAAATAATAAATTTTATATCAAAGTGAAGCATGCGTTCTAATCTTTAATGTGAAATAATAATTTTCGCAAAAAGTTGTGTTTGAAACAAACTTTGATACTTAAAATTAATGATAAAAATAAATATTTTTGTGTAAAAAAACCATCAAAGATAATTAATTCATCGCCGCATTTTAAGATAAAATAAATCGTTAATTATATTTATCGTCCAGTGGCGTACTAGTTATTTTAACTGAACATTTAAATCGACCAATTTTATGGAAAATGGAACCTACTTTTACTTGCTGTAAAGCTAAACCGTTTCTAAACTTTTGTTGCATAATCTGTTTTAAAGTATTTCATTCGAGTTGTCTAGAAAGGAAAAAGAATGTAGTGAGACTTAGTGCCTATGCAGTCTACTGTTCAATTGTATGTCAGGAAAAAGGGCTCAAAGAAGAAAATAATTTTGAGGCAGAGAAAGAAGCTAAAGAAAACCGATATATAGAAGAACAACATGTGACACAACTCAAAATTAACACCTTTTGAGTTCATACCTTAAATATGATTAAAAAACAACCTTACAATCAACAAAATTATTTAAACTTTACTTAGAAAAGATTCGTCTAGATGTGAGGTTGTTTTTAATAATCAAATTCATGTTATTACCAGAAAAAAATATGTGAATTTTGAGTTGTGTCACTATAGATTAAAATTGTTCAGGAAACTTACTTTAAACCACATTCTCCACACAAGTACGGTTTGAAATGGGTCTTCACGTGACATCTCACATTATTAACACCGGAAGGTGGAAAATCTCTTTGATATGAACACTCTGTACACGCATATCTCTTCCAACCTTTCACGGTAGGCGTCAACACTGTTAATAAATTCCTGGCCGGCGTCGCATCGCTTGAAGCTTTGGTTCTTTTCTCTTTCGGAAATTTGTGCGGAACATCTCCAATGATGTTATTGAAAAGTCCTGTATATGTGACTGGTACACCAGGATGAACTCGTTGAGAATGTAATTTTAAGCCAGTTACTTTACAGAATTTCTTATTGCAGGCGTTGCAGACATATCTGAAACAAATTAAAAAAAGGATAGAAATTCATTCAGCTACAGAAATTCATTCAGTTGTAGAAATTCATTCATTTATAGAAATTCATAGAAATCACTAGAAATGAATAAACATTCATAAAAATTCATAGAAATCCATAGAAATTCATAGAAATTCATAGAAATTTATAGAAATTCATAGAAATTTATAGAAATTCATAGAAATTCATAGAAATTCATAAAAATTCATAGAAATCCATAGAAATTCATAGAAATTTATAGAAATTTATAGAAATTTATAGAAATTCATAGAAATTCATAGAAATTCATAGAAATTCATAGAAATTCATAGAAATTCATAGAAATTCACAGAAATTCACAGAAATTCAATTCATAAACGCCTGAATTACAGCAGAATCCAAAAGTCCCATTCCCATGATCTACTCTGGTAATAAAATAAATATTGAAAAAATTAAAAAATTAACTTAATTTTGCATAGAAAAGCATTTTGAAGTATGTACCATGCAGCTGCCGACAAATGGTTGTGTCATTTTTCCCGTATACGAGTTGCTAGTTTATAATGACAAGGAGTGACATAAAACTAGTTGTGCTTAGACAGCTAATGAGAAGATCTGCAATTTTCGGCAAAATATGAGTTTTATGAAAAATGAACTATATAATTATTTTCAACAGTGACACAAGTTGAATTAGGACATTGTTGTTGAAAATGCCATTATCAATACGGTGTGAAATGTACTTTTTTGGAACATCGTCATAAATCAAGTCGGATGAAAATATATTATTTTCGATGTAATTGCGAAAATTTGATGTAGAAAAACAACATGTTACTACTTCCAAAAATTACCGCTGCCGGCAAGCGGTTATTATTTTTCCCGTATACGAGTTGCTAGTTTATAATGACAAGGAGTGACATAAAACTAATTGTGCTTAGACAGCCAATGAGTAGATCTGCAATTTTCGGCTAGTGACATAAATCAAAATATGCCAGTTTTATGAAAAATTAACTATGATCATTATTTTTAACTGTGCAAGTCAAGTTAGGACATTATTGTTGAAAATGCCATTATCAATACGGTGTGAAATATAACTCAAAAGTTGGATGAAAATATATCATTTTCGAGCTAATTGCGAAAATTTGACGTGGAAGAACGACATATTGCTACTTCCAAAAATGATCGCCACCGTCAAGCAGTTGTGTCATTTTTCCCGTACACGAAGTTGCTATTTTATGATAACAAGAAGTGATATAAAACTAGTTGTGCTTAGACAGCAATTTTCGCCTAGTGACAAATCAAAATATGCCAGTTTTATGAAAAAATGAACCATGATCATTCTCTTCAACAGTAACACAAGTCAAATTAGGACATTATTGTTGAAAGACCATTATCAATACGGTGTAAAATATAACTCAAAAGTCGGATGAAAATATATTATTTTCAAGCTAATTGCAAAAATTTGACGTGGAAGAACGACATATTGCTACTTCCAAAAATGATCGCAGCCGTCAAGCGGTTGTGTCATTTTTTCCGTACACGAGTTGCTAATTTATGATGACAAGGAGTGAAATAAAACTAGTTGTGCTTAGGCTGCAATTTTCGGCTAGTGACATAAATCAAAATATACCAGTTTTAAGAAAAATTAACTATGATCATAATTTTCAACAGTAACAAAGTCAAATTAGGACATTTTTGTTGAAAAGGCTAGTATCAATATGGTGTGAAATATACTTTTCTGGAAGATCGTCATAACTCAAACGAGGGATGAAAATATAATATTTTTGGATTTTTTCTTAATATTATCAAACCAAACTTATGTTTATTTCCATAAATTTTTGAGTGGTGTCACTATTCTTCTGTACCAATGTAATGCATTTATGAATGAACTAAATCCTGGGCCAGGAACACGATTTAAGCAAGACATTTTGTCTACACCTGAAAATGTTATCTATTATTTTTTTTATTATTATTAATCTTACCTGTAGAACACAAACGTTTCCCCATCGTGGACCTTCATATGGTGCTGCCTTATTTGAATTTCCGAACCGACCTCATCGCAGATCATGCAAGCAACGAATTCTTCCTTTTTCAAAAAGCAAGTCCTCTGATTCAATACTTTGAATTTGATATGCATGTTATCGTGTTGGCCGGAAATATGCGACAACATTATCGGTTCGGAATTTGACATGTATGGACAGTACTCGCAGCAGTATGCGTCACCGTTTTGCGGTACGTTCGTGTCAGTTTTGCTCACGATTACCAAATCATTCACAGCCTACAAAAGAAAAATAAACATTATAAAATACATTAAGCTTCGCAACATTAACAATCTTATCACGTTATGCGTGTTTTTAATAAAAAAAATGTCACGATTTTCGTGCACTTTAATAATTTTGGGACTATCTATATCCCGGGGGTTAAATAACAAAATAAACTTGGCTTCAAAGCTATTAACTGTATAAGGGTTCTATTCTTGATGTTAGAACCTACCACGTCCCTGAAAAGAGGCGGAAGAAAACAGTGTTCTCAAAACAAATATAATATAATTTAACACGATTATACAAAATATGTCCTAACTCGACATACACAAATATAGGGCTCAATGTATTAACAAATAGACAATAAAAGATTAACTTACCACTCCAACAAATATCTTGGACACATGTCACAACCCCTAGCTAACTATTAAAAACGTAATTATTCAAAATACAAAATAAAGACTTTTAATTTAAACTATAGAGATCCCGAGCTGCAGCTGTTACGGGCTTTTTTCACAGGGAAGGATCCTCCCCATAGGAAGCCTCCTTGAAGGATATTCCCAGTAGCAGGTCCAGCTCGGGATCTCTATAGTTAAAATTAAAAGTCTTTATTTTTTATTTTGAATAATTGCATTTTGAATAGTTAGCTAGGGGTTGTGACATCTGCCCAAGATATTTGTTGGAGTGGTAAGTTAATCTTTTGTTGTCTATTTGTTAATATATTGAGCCCTATATTTGTGTATGTCAAGTTAGGACATATTTTGTATAATCGTGTTAAATTATATTATATTTGTTTTGAGAACACTGTGTTTTCTTCAGCTCCTTTTCATGGACGTGGTAGGTTCTAACATCAAGAGTAGAATCCTTATACAGTTAAGGGTTACGAAGCCAAGTTTAAGGCTAAATAGTGTTTACATGATTTAAGCTCGAATTCATATATTTTGTTATTTAAACCCCGGGATAGATAGTCCCAAAATTATTAAAGTGCACGTAAATCGTGACTTTTTTTATTAAAAACACGCATAACGTGATATGGTGGAGGCGCCAGGCACCATGTCACGTTAAGCGTGTCTTTATCAAAGAGCACGTGTAACGTGACATTTCTTTATTAAAGACACGCTTAACGTGACAATATGTTAAAGATAACTGACAACAAATTGGGATACATAAGGCGAGCAGAAAAATGTTCCGACAATTTTGCCCAGCCCTGTATATCATTTAGATCATTTTTGTACTTTCGATCGTATGTGATTTGATAATTTGTTCTAATTTGGATCTTTTCAACTTTCGATAATTTTTCCGCTCACCACAGAGGGTGAGCCATAAATTCAGTTTATTTTAATTTTAAGATTCTCATTAAAACTATACAAACAAAAAAATACGGATATTCCTCATTATTTTGCTTACCTGATAAGACGAGTCTACATCCATTATATTGACATCGGGCTCAAGAATATCCGCCATTCCTAGTACTGTACCATCTTGCTCGGACTCGTCGATCATATTAGAAATTGTGGTTGCTGGTACCAACACTTCAGTGATGGCCTAAATTAATTAAAACACATTATACAATTATATACAGGATGTTCCATAAAACTATAAAAATTTATAAAGCGGAGGGGCTCGTATGTCTAAAGTGGTTACGACATCTATCTTGTATGCTATTTTTATTCGAAATAGTAGTCGCCAAGCCTGCCAATTTATGAACAATTTATAAGCGGTTTTTTAAAACTTTACATTTTTATTGTGTTCGATATAAATTTAATCCATTATTCATGTTTTCATTTAGTGTAGATAGAACATAGCTCTCAGAAAGTCTAGATACCGCATCGTGAAAAAAATTTGACCCCCAATATGATAGGCGCCATGATAAGTCTACTGACAAGACAGAATCGGCGCAAGTTTAGTAATAACATTAAGATCGGCGTTCGACGTTTATCATCGATTTTATTATCTGTTCTGTTGTGTTATTTTGTTCTTCTAGAAAATGTTTTATTTAAAACATTAATTTTTAGTTTAGTCGTTCATTATTTTATTTTAATAAAAAACATTTGTAGTTTGGTGTTGCATTTTTACAGGATTTCCAAAATGTCTTGTTGTTTTGTATCTGGATCTAACAATGCATCTTACGGTAGAAGATAAGGAAGGAATAACATTTCATGTGTAAGTTTTCACAAATATTTGTGTATTTACAAAATCAAATGTTTTATTGTAGCATACCAAAATTTATGTTATTGTAATTTAGTTATAACCGAGTAATTTTACAATAGGACTTTTCTGTTATATCGCATCTTTATGGTCCATTATTCATTGTAATGAACTCCTTAGATTTATATAGCTTATAAAAATTAAGCAATGTGTATTATATCCTTCACTATTACAAGTTTATTGGCACTTCAGCCATGATGAAATCTTTGCCGAAGAAAGATAATCACCAACAAACTTTTTCTATGTAACATACTGGTGACATTAATTTAAGACTTTGAATGTATATTGTTAAACTAGACCTTCAGATATATTCGGTGAAATAACTTATGAAGCAAATTTTTTATTTTAATTTGCATTAAAAAAAAAACTTGAAAATATAGTGAATTGTGTAAAGAAACAATAGTATGTACAATGTATAGATCAATTTATAGAGCAATGTCATTATTGTGTACTTTTTATTATGTTACTTTGCAATTGCATTTATTTATCTATCTCCTGGATAATATTTCACAATCATCAAAGTTTTATTAATAATCAATCAATGGTTATTAACTTATACTTAATTGAATATATTTCTGTTCATGTTTGGGAAAACCAAGAGCAAGTGGATTGTATATCTATATATAAAGAGTTCTAAGGCTTTGGATAAGTTTGATCATAGGACCATGGTCTTATAATTGTTTAGTTTAGGTTTTTCTAGTGGGGTTAGTATTTTCAATTATTGATGATATCTCTAAATATGCTCAAGTAGTATAAGTAGTTCTTTAAATTCATTCAAAATTGTTTAATAGAGATAATATATAATATTTATAAATGACAATATATGAATTATGGGTGGCACAAAATTGATCGAAAAACATTTTAATTGAAGTGGAAATTTGATCTAAAATAAATTTTATCAAATGGCATTTCATCAAAAATACATTTGATCGAAGATATATTTTATTGAGTAACATTTTATCGAAAAGACAATAGCTCTAAAATTCGTTAGATCGAAAGAACAATATGGGTGATTCTCGCCTAACTGTGATTTTTACAACTTACATTTTTCTAAAATTAAAAATGTTTCAAAACGTATGTTTTACGCGTTTTTGTTTTCTATTTATGCATAAAAATAAGCCTGTAAAGTGGTTCTACTACAGCTACGACACAACGAAAACTGTGACAAAATTTAAAAATTTTAATGCCACGGTACTGACATTATTTCCACGGTACTGACATATAAATGATTATTTTTTTTACCAATCCAAAGATTAGTATAAAATTGCAATAAAATTCAATGCAGTATGCATTAGATTGTAGTTATAAGAGGTAAATTTTATATTAAAAAATGAATTTTGATAGAAATTTATATATTTAATTTTAAAAATGAGAATCGGACATGCCACGGTACTGACATTTCGAGTATATTTATATGCAGCTTAAAAAAAAATTACGAAGGTTCATGATCTAATTCATAATGTCGGTTGTAAAATACCTCTAAATTTATAATATTATTAACTTCTTGATGAGGAAAACTTATGCTAATCGATAAATAAAACAATGGACATAAAAAATCACAGTTAGGCGAGAATCACCCATATATCGAAAATCAACATTAAAAATAGTAAAATATAAAAAAATTCAAACGACACCATGCAACCGTCCGTCTAATCGATAAGAAAATTATATAATAAGGAGAAAAATAAAAAACTTAACTAATTTACCTAACCTGTGTGGCTTAGAGCCGTCAAGGGTTACTTCGAAAAAAAAAAAAATAATACAAAAAAGAGAAAAATAAAAAAAGTGACAATTCTGTCAAACTAATTGTTAGTATATTTTTTAGATTAAACATACATTAAAATGGGTTATTTTTGTGAAGAATCAATAAATAATAGCATTTCTTTTTTTATTTCGTTTATTATAAATAATTTGTTAATTTAAATAAAACTATATGAAGTCAATTATTATTATTATTATTATTAACCACCCCATTTATTAATTGTTATTACACAACATGAGTGTAACATAATATAGATACATCAAATTACTTAAATTTTTTAACCTTTCTTGGTGAGATTTTATTTATTCATATAAAGAACTATTTAAATGCATTAGTTTAGCAATTTAGTACACTTTTGGACATATACTGCCAAAGAAATGGTATAAAAATAGTAATTTTTAAAAACCGTTGAGACAATTTATTCTACATCTTCTGGTCAGATTTTTCTTTTAAATATTAGTTCCGATCTAAGTAGGAACCCGAGGGTTGAGAGCCTACCGGGCGCATCTCCGGGTGGTGGATAGGAGGACGGTCAGAGCATCTAGCTAGTGGCACCTATAAGTAGGGTGAGGAGACTTAAAAACCCCCAAAATCCTTTGCGAAAACTGTCGCCGCGAACAAACTCCCCAATTTAAGACGTAACGCGACCCGTGCCGAAGACTGAATGATACCTGGGTCAAGGTATTGCAAACGGAGCCTCTGGGACACCAGGTCATCTCCCAGAGTTTCACGACCTTACTGCGGCATGCGGGGCTCTGCCGTAGCGGACTGTTTTTCCCTAGCTACTCGTGGGATCATATATGAATTCTAAAAACAACCAAAATAACAGCGAAATGCAACAAAAGGCAACAGCGTCAACATCGAAAAGGGATACGACGAAGACAACGTCTCTGGCGAAGGCTGAACAGCTAGTCATCGTCTCCTCCCTAGAAGAGGTAGACTCTGCCCGTCTAGGTGGACACTCAAGAACGAGGCTAAAGGAGCTCTTGAAAACTGGCCTTGATTACACAGCCGCAAAAAGGCAGGTGATCAAGGAAAAATTTCAAAGAGCCCAAACAAAGCCCCAGAGGCTAGAGCGTCAAGACAAGGCGAAAGAAGCTGCTAAGCAAGGCACAAAAGCTCAAAAACGTCCAAGGTCGACAGACGCAACACCGCCGCAGGTCAGCCGACTGAGGAAGAAGCCCAGGACGGACGAAGTTTCGTTCAAAGATGCCCTTACCTCAGTGAAGGTTGCAGTAGTAGAAATAGGGTACCCGGAGATCAAGATGAGTCCAGAGAGACTAGGAAAAGTCCAAGACTCGATCTCCGAGGCCCACGACAAAATTCCCACAGAGAGAACACAGGTAAGGTTCGCCAAGTGCAGCCACAAGCCAGGTTACCTGGTCGTGACTTGCGCGGACCGAACCAGTGCAAACTGGTTGCGGGACATCGTCACAACCATCCAACCTTGGGAAGGGGCAAACCTGAAAGCGTTGGAGGGTAACGATATCCCTAGGTAGAATTCATCTGGTATACGGACGGCTCCAAAACCCATGAAGGTTCAGGAGAAGGTATATATGTATAGTACCAAGCCAAAGACAAGAATCTCACTGAGCTTAAGTAAACATGCGACAGTATTCCAGGCAGAAATAGCAGCAATACATCAATGCGCAAAAGAGTTATTAAGACAGAAGGAAAATGGAAAACCATTGTCATATACTCAGACAGTCAAGCGACGTTAAAGGCACTCAGTTCCATGCAGGTACATTCAAAGCTTGTGTGAGACTGTTTGGAAACCCTAACAGAGCTGGGTAGTCAAAATAGAATAACCTTAGCCGGGGGTACCAGGCCACAGAGGACATAAGGGCAACGAAGAGGCTGATTTACTAGCCCGAGAAGGAGCTTCAAATGCTCTTATTGGCCCAGGACCCTTCTGTGGTATAACAAAAACAACTATCAGAACATGCACAAAGCAGTGGATGTTTAAAAAATCTCAGGAGTGGTGGAAAAACTCTCCAGGACAGACAGGCCAAAGAGTTCTTAAAAGGACCATCGCCTAAACTCACCGAGCATCTACTAAGCCTTAATAGGAAAAATACTAGAGTACTAGTAGGTCTATTAACAGGGCATTGTAGACTTAACAAACATATGTATAATATCGGTCTGATAGAAGAGACCTTGTGCCGATTCTGTCAGGAAGAGGAGGAAACGGCAGTACACGTATTGTGCTACTGCGAAGGTCTAGCAAGACTGAGATTCCTTACACTTGGGGAAGAAAAACCAAGGGCAACTGGCTATACCGGAGAACTACTTCCCAGTCTATGGAGTCTACTACAAAAGACCGAATTAGACAAGGTACTCTAAACAACGATTCAAGGATATCCACAATAGATCTGAGAAGGTCGAAGTGGGGGAGGCCACATGGCCCACAGTCCTAATTAAATCTAATCCCTAATCTAAGTAGGTACCTATTAGTTTGTATGTTTTATACTTTATTTTATTACATGTAATAAATGATAAGAAATATAATTTTATAGTAAATACATTGTTTAAGGCAATATGTAATTAATAAGTTTCTTTTAAGGTTAAATTGTTAAAACAATTTTTTACATCTGTTGTTTATCAATTTGTTTCATTTAATACCGACTTATTGAGTAAGTTATTTCATAAAAATATGCGATACTTGTAAAATGTAATATTCTTTTTTAAAAAGGTATAGGTATATTATGTTTGTATAAAATATTATTATTTTGTCATTTATTCAAAAAAAGTTTGTAAATTATTCAAAATATAATTACCTACCCCAAAAAAAGATTAATCAAAGCAGTTAGTCATATACACATTTTCTATATATTTATAGGTATTTTTTAAATAACTTTCAATACTTTAGAAATATGTGGCTTTTATTAAACTCGATGTAACAAATAATAATAGGTATTCTCAAAAAATTTTAAAAATAAAATCGAAACGGGACTATTGTATGATTCAGTGACTATTCGCCTACAGTTGGTGCGTTGCTGTATATATCCCTGTTTTCTATATTGGAACAATATAGCTTCTCCACTCGGGCACTATTTTTTGCATCTCACAAGAATATACTAGGTCTTTTCCTTTGCATCGAAAGTGTAGCACTGGGCTACACCAATTCTGAAAATATCGTTCCATATATACAAATTGTATGGATGGAACGATATTTTCAGAAGTGACGTAGCTCAGTGCTACACTTTCGATGCAAAGGAAAAGACCTATTTATACTTTACATAATCTACTGATCATGGCGGCCAGCATGAAAGGGATCATTTTTTTGTATTGACAGCATACGTCAAGCGGTATCTAGACTTTATGAGGGCAATGGGATAGAATACATCGTATGTCGCAAACCCGTAGATATACCAACTCTTCCCACAGACAGATCTTTTGTTTGGAATGCCTACTAGTATCGAAATTCAGAAAGAAATGACAATGTCAAAAATGGTTATCGAATGACAGAAGACAGAACCGTCATACTGAAAAAGGAGATGAGGCATTAGAGATGGGAGAAAAATAACAGCATCACAAGCATACTGATTTTAATGTAAATTCTCAAATTATTTGAATATTTTTGTAATTTTTAAAACTTTATAGTCATAATGCACATTTTTCCATATTTAACATAGACATACTTATACATTTTGTGACTAAATAAATGATTTATATAAGTATCCGTTGTACTTGAAGTTAAGTCCGATAATAATATTACTTAAAAATAAAAAAAAAAAAAAAAAAAAAAAAATACTATTTAGATTATTACCTCTTTCGTCAACGGTTCAACGAGTTCGTCTTCGACCTCTTTCATATGCAAATAATCAGAATGTTGAAGTTCACCCAAAACGGTCGGACCCATTTCGATTATGTTCGGATTCGCGCTGGCATGGATTTTCGTACAATGTCTTTTCATCGAATTACGACTGTAACTTGTAAATTGACAATCTCCGCATTTGTACGGGATACAACTCCAATGTGTGAGAGCGTGTTCGTTTCGTTCTTGCTCGTTTTTGTACCTGTAATTAATAGTTTTTAAATTGGTACCGTTCTTAGACGAACAAATGAAAAATAGATTTGAAGCAAATATTTACCCTTCTTTTAACAAAATTATCGTGTATTCGTATTGTAAAAATAAGAAATCTCATAATGATAAGTTATATTTTGAATGTTAATACTGATTTGAATTAAATAAAAAAGAGTTATCACAAAAAAAAGTTTGTTTAACACATTGGTTCCAAACAAAGCTTTTGTTAAACAGCTACCTTCACCCATTTAATTTATTTTCCATCAAAATAATCATGATTTTATGATATCAATCGATAGCAATGCTAAAAAAAGTATTCTTACCATCTGTTGCAGTAGCGACACAATACCTTCTTTGGGTCAGAGGATGATGCCATGATAGACTTAGCAAGCGATGGTACTATTCTTGTACATTGTGATCTGATAAGCATTTGCAGCCACAGTTCCAATTTGGGGTTTCTATCCAACGTAATTATATAATCAAGATTAAATTCCTCTTCGTGCTCTTTAACATGCTTCGACATGTAACGATAAGTGATGCTTTCGTCACCGCAGAGGGCACACTTGTACCTGGAAGAAAAACCAGATTATGTATTTTTAAATGTTTCTTTACCTAATATGTTAGAAATAACAAATGACAGATTGTATCTAATACGATAAATATAAAACAGTAATACAATTTTAGGCTATAATTTTATGAAAGGTTTATTATAAGTTTGTATAACTATGCCAAAGATTAACTCATAAAACAATTTAATCTTTACAACATAATATAATTTCTGATGGTGACTATTATGAAAGTAAAATTTGATGGTAAGCAACACAACTATAAAACACCTATTAGAAATCAGAATTTTCATTTAAGTAACTTTATTATGAAACTAACCTAACTTTTAACGCTGAAAGTGATATCAAACGTATTTTTTTAATATCGCAAATATCTAGCCGGAAGAAATTTAAAAGAAACATATAATTGTTGCAATGATAAATGAAATTTCCAATTGACTGTAAAAATGCTTGTGTTACTCCTCCTCCCAAGATCAATAACCCTAAACAGCTTTGTGATTTAAGACCAACTAGAGCCTAGAGAAGAAAGGAGTGCTGTAATTTAATTTTCAGAACGTAGTACAGGTTCAAGAGGTAGACATTTTATTTATACCTCATCCTTCAATGCTTATTTGTAGTTAAAACGAACATTTTAATAAATCTGATCGGGCTACTAAAAGTTTACGTTTAGATTTAATCATGCTTCCATGGATTTTACTGTAATAAACCTTTTCTTTTGACAGAATTCGCACCTTATTTATTCATAGCTATATCGTATTTTAATTGATTTGGAATTTTGTATTAGTATATTATAATTTTACAGTTACAAAATAATGGCGAGTGCATTAGAAAATATTGCAAGCCCAAGTACGTGTAAACGAACTACTGGACATAAAGCATTATCTTTAGAAGATCAAAATATCCTACTTAATGTATTTAATAATATTCGAAAAGACTTTGTTTCACTTTCTGTGGATGAAATAACCACTAAATGTGAGACCTATACTGAAGTATCTAAGCGGACAATGCATAACATTATTAAAGAAGAGACAGTCATTGGAGAAGTCTCACATATGAAAAGGCCTCCAGGAAGAAACAACACCTTTATTGAAACTTGGGTAAAGAATATAATAAGGCAAATGGTATTGGTGGTGACAGCAGTGGGATATACAATAAAAGTTACCCATGCATTTTATTAATGGTAAATTATTTAAGATCCACTGCACACGAAACAGATATAGATACTTCAAGCCCACCACCATGGCTTTTGAAGATGGCAAAGGAGAGAAAAAGGCGAGAAGAGGAAAGGGAAAGGCGAGAAGAGGAAAAGGAAAGCCGTAGGAAGGAAGAAGAAAAGAAAAGGGAAAGGCGGAGAAGGAGGAGTGTCATAGAAAAGAAGAGGTGGAAATTATGAATGGCTTGCTACAAATTCAAGAAAACTTCAGACAAGAGGTACGTCAACTGAACAGTCAAATAGATCTTTTATCATAACAAGAGAATTTAAAAACTAATTTAAAACAACAAGAAACGGCTAGAGTAGAGTTAGAAAGGCAAATTAGAACTGAATTAGTTGAGTTAGAAATAATTCTTGGCCTAGCTTTAATTAGCAACAGAGAGACTGCAAATACTACCTCGTTCTTATCTATAACCAAACCAAGCCATATCCAAAATCCACAAAGCCATATTAACAAGACTAATTAAGCCACCCACGTTTGACGGTCAGACAACATGGGCAACATATCGACTCCAATTCGTTGCGAGGACAGGCAGCAACTGTTTTACAGTTACTCCCTCAAGGGGAACCTAGTTATTCGTCTCTCGTCCAAGCTTTGGAGGACAATATATGGCCAGCAGCATTTGAAACAGGTATTCCAAAGCCAGCTAAAGGTTCGTACTCAGAAACATAATGAGAGTCTACTGGAATTCGAGGCCGGCATAAGAAGATTGATTCATCTGGTCTATCCACAGGCAACCAAAGATTTCCAAGAATAAATCGGAATACAGGTATTCATTGATGGATTGCAAGATGTGGAAATGCAGCAAGCCCTTCGTCTACAACATCACAAGACGCTGAGGGAGAAATTGATTGCAGCCCAAGAATATGAAGAGAAAGAAATTAAATCGCAGGAAAGTGTCTAGGCCAATACTAATACTATTCCCCAACTTACCCTCACAAATCTTAAATATCCTGAAAAATATGCAACGAAACAGCCAAAATGGAAGCAGGAGAAGACTCGCATTTATTCTCAGGGCTTGCAATGATTTCTCTACCGAAACATGCAAAGTTCTATATAATGCATTTGAACGATCTAAAATAGAATATGCCTGTAAAATTTGGTCACCCAAAACAATCCTTTATAATGATACCTTGGAAAAAGTGCAGAAGCGTTTTGTCAGAACTCTATACATGAAAAAATATGGAGACTACCCCTTACGTATCTCTTACAAGAGCCAGAATAGATTTTAATATTGAAACACTATTTAGCAGAAGGAACAAAGCCCATTTAACATTTATAACAAATATTATATTTGGAAATTTTAATTTACCCAAATTACTAGCCTCCATCAATTTCAGTGTACCAGATATTCGCCTTAGGCAAAGATACACATTATTTTCCAACAATAATTTAATCTCAACTATCGATAAATCTCTTCAAATACTAGATCAGTTCCTGATTAGCAGTAACATTGACCTTTTTAATATGTCTTTCAATAAATTGAAATTAATATTCCATACACATACATTTTAACAAAAACTATTATAACTTATAAGTATTAATAAGTTATATAACTTTTAATATTACACATATTTTTTATTAATTGCATACCATTGTTAAATTTATTTCTAGTTTTAGTAATTATTGTAAGTGCTACTCAACTGTATAACATGTAAATGGATTGCATGCTGTTTGTTTTGCAGTATAAATAAATAAATAAAATAATTGCGGAAGAATCGGGCACCTTCAAAGGACCTGCAGAAGCAGGACTCACTCTATAAATCAAGAATCAGGAAGCGTGGCCAGAAAATCACATAGATCAATATCCCGAAGCTCGTTACAAAGTCCAACAAGAAATAATTACAGCAGCTATGCGTCCGGGAGAGGCCGATTACCCACACCTAGCCGGCTTTCTAGCAATAACCAGGAAGTAGAGCATCGACGAGGCCGTATTCATAGCAGTGCAGACATTTTCTCCAGGCGACCCTGTTTAGAACGAGAATGCTCGGAGAACAAGAGGAACCATAGTTACTCTTTACATAACCACTATCAAGCCAGAGGGCGACGAAGAAGAAATCACCCTTGAAAGCCTGAAAAGGGGAAAGAAGAAAGACAATGACTTAAAGGTTGTCCGAGAATGACTAAAAATAAAGTCACACCTACTTGGCAAGAGATAGCCAAATACAGTGGAGCTATTAAAAGATACTGGACTCAATGGGATTCGCTATATCTTCACGACGGCCTATTGTACCAGAAGTGGAAGAGCCCCGATGGAGTACATGAACTCATATGTCAGAAATGTATTCAATGAGTTTCATAGCAGCCGCTCGGGAGGACATTTTGGTACTAAAGGGACACTGGCACGAGTTCGGGAAATATTTTATTGGGTCAAATGCCGACGGGATGTAGCGGATTGGTGTAAAAAATGTGAGCTATGCAATGATGGTAGGACAAAGGACTACGGATTCGCTCGAGAACGTCTGAAAGCCAATAACGACAAAAATCAACGACCTACCACATTCGGCTGTCAGCGGGAAACAAACCCAAGGTAGTTCACACTGGAAAGTTAGTGCCATACCGTGGTCCAGATTCTCCCCGTTAGCTCCAACCAGGTCCCAGTAATCAAGTTATTCGGGACGAATAACTAGAGAGTGGGAAGCAATGTTACCCATCACCCTACAGTGTGTCGGAGTCGTCATAAGTAAAGGTGAGAGTAAAAGAAGAAGGGAGAATATTCGAGAAATATCGAGAAACTCATTTCACGTCAAGAAACATCTGGACGTTCGGAAAGGTTCTGGAAGGCTAAATCAAGCTAAGTCAGTTTAATATTAGTTGAGTTGTAATAAATTGAGATACCAAAAACCAGCGTAACAGTATTTTAATTAGATGAAACATGGGTTAATGCTGGACATACAGTAACAAAAATTTCACAAGATACCTCCATTAAAACTAAAAAACAAGTCTTTATGGAAGATGCCTCTTGTGGATTACAAAATCCAACAGGAAAAGGAAATTGTTTAGTAATAACCCATATTGGAAGCACCGATGGGTGTTTACTAGATGGTTTATTAATGTTCTAGTCAAAGAAAACAAAAGACTACCATGAAGAACTGGATGGCCCTGTTTGAACATTGGTTTCAGAACATTATAAAAAAAATTCCAGCTAACTTCGTTATTGTTTTGGATAATGCATCGTATCACAGTCGAATAAAGGAGATACTACATACAAACAAGATGGAAAAAAATTTAAAATGGCTTCATTCCAAAAATATCAATCCTCCTAAATCCTTGAAGGCAGAATTACTCGTAAGAGCAAGGCAACATAAAAACAAATGCAAAAAATATATTATAGACGTGATGGCCCGAGAAAAAGGAATTGAAATTCTTAAATTGCCTCCTTACTACGCATAGTTAAGAGATCCACTATATTAGTGGATAATTTTTTGCAGTCCTTTAGGGATTTTGTTTAATGTAATTTAAATTTCTGGCAACCGTAGGTTGTTCTTTTGTGGAAATCATTTATTTTAAATGGATTGTTTGTAATGTACATTTTTATCTGTGTCATACCTAATATGTCAGAAATGACAGATATTGTATCTAATTTTGTACTGCTTTATACACGGGAATATATACAAATATGTAATAAATGCAAATATAACAGTGAAAATAATAGATTTTAAAACCTACTAAATTGATAAGTTTAACTCGAGAAATTTTGTCGGTTTAATTGCTGAAACAAAGACAAGTGAAAAAATTCCGAGAGGAATAACAAACCAAAGAAAAATTGTAAAATTGTTTTTGACATTTTTACTGCCTATAATTGAGAGCTTTAACTATAATTTAATAAAATCTTATCTTACCTGTAGACACGTTTTTCTTTAAACAAATGAAAGATGAAATCAGAAATCCGCTTCGACTTGAACTTATTGCATACGGGACATTTGAGTTGTTTATTTAAAGGTAATCCAAATTGACCAAAATCCAATCTTATGTTTTTCTCCAAATCTTCATCATCATCCTCATCATCATCACCATCGTCCGCAGCATATTTACTAGTAGAACCAACATCTTTGGTATCCTCCGTTTTAACCACTTTAGCAGATTGGTGAATTGTTTCCGTACTTTTTCGTTTCGCGGCAACTTTCTGAGACACAACTTGCGTATCATCGTCGTCATCTATTACGATAACGTCACTGGGTTCTTTAACGGGAGAAATCGGAGTATCCTTCATCAATTTATTAACCTTTTCGATAAAATCTATACCGTCATCTTTTCGCCCAGTGCCACTTCCAGTTGCTACAGATTCAATGGCCATATCCAAATTACGAGTTGCGCTTTTCGCGTTTATCGACGTAGCCGTTTTGGTCGGCTTTTTGGGACTCTTGGAAGCGGACGTCGGAGCGGCATCGTCAAAGAGAATACCTCTAATATGTTTAATCCTTGGCCTATCTCTTTGCCATAGCGGAGTCGTATCGAAACTGTCACAAACAATGCCCTCCTTTTCTTCCTCGAACTTCCGGTAACTGTGGATGATGTCGATGTCCTGTTTGGGATGATGGTCTTTGTAATGTTGAGCAAATGTTGATTTATCATCTGATTTGTAAGCGCAAAGCGCGCATTTATACTGAGTTTCGATTTCGTGTTTTTCTGAAGCATGAATCCGAACGCCCTCTTCCGTAGAGGTTTTGAATTTACACATCAAACACCGCCACAGTTTGTTAGGCTTAGTTAGATTTGCTACTGGAGGAGAAGAACTGGATGAAGACTCATTCGGTTTTACAGGTTCCGTTTCCAGGTGTCTTATAGTTAACACCTTATTAGGCACATCCGCGTGTGCATCGTTACAATGTTTCTCGACTTTGTGCTTGAAATGATGTACAACGCTGCAATACTGGCACTTATAAAGCTGCAAGCCGTGTAACTTAAGATGCTTGATTAAACTGTCTGTATCTGTAGGTGTAAGTTGAGCTTTACAATGAACGCAAACAAAAGAAGTTTCTCCATCGTGAAGAGCCATGAGATGATGGCGAAGATTCGCCTCTTCTGGGCATATGTAGTTACAGCCCTGTGCGCAACATGTATAACGCGTATGGGACGGTATGAATTCTGGAATGCTGTCGACGTCTGGAAATGAAAATATTGAGTTACTTATCAAATAAATACGGAAGCATTAAGAGGATAGTTTGGAATTGTTCTAGAATGAACCATTCTACGTACAACTCTTGCCAAATTTTTAAGCAAATTGTGAATAAATGTAAAGTAGAATCAGAAATATTGTAAGGTCATAAATCAGTATTAGCCGATCACCCTCATTATTATAATAGGGGAGCCCAAGCAAGGATTTTGGGATTTATTCAAGTGCGGCAGAATAACATAAAGGGGAAACCTTCCACCCTGTTAAGTACCCCCACCATACACGAACCCTTTATATAGGTCGTGCGTTTAGGGCAGCCGATCAGATTAATAAAAAAAATCGATCGTTAGAAAAACTCGTCAGAGTAAGAAACAAGGTGAGTTAATTACATGCATTATGTACATTTCAATAATCTGACGATTTGCCTGTGACATAAGGAAATAGTAGAGTCGCAAAGTTGCAGCAAAAAACGTAACCTGGACATTCTGCAGAACAGTTAATTTTTTTTTTATTTTGAAGGAAGTCATTCGGGAATAATATAATCGGCTGATTTCCACAAGCCGAAGTAGTTAAAATCTCATCAATAAAGTGTGGTGCGTGCAGTTGCTAAGAACTATGTCTTTTAAACTCCGCGCCTCTCTTCCCTTCTCACTCTTTATCTATGTCTCACTCTTTCGCACCGTCCCCATACTCAAGGATACTTAACTTCTCTATTATAATTGGCCAATCCCATACAGAATGTATGTTTCACTGTATTATGTCATTTTCGGACCAGATATTTATAAATTTCTGTGTTGTTTATGCGTTTTTTTAGTATTTTTTGGATTGTTTATGTAACTTTCTAATATACTGGACTTTTAAAGTATTTTTATAAAGAGTATTTTGGTAAATCAACTTAGTTTTATTAAAGGTAATTTCTATAGTGGCAAAAATGATAGTTTTTAACTAATTATAGTGTTATTTTTTTAGGGTTTGAATGTGCCAGACAGACGGTGGTCAGTAATTGTAACAACAGCCGTGTGAAAACAAAATTAGATAACCCAGATATAATTCATCATGATTTTCCATTGGGGAAAGATTTTGTTTCACACGAAATAAAACAAAACCTTCAGATTAAGGAATTTCCAGATTATAATTGTCAGATTATAGGTCAACGCGACAAGGACATCAAGCTGAACCGTCTATATATTAATCTGACGCGCGTATTTAAATGTCACGATTTTTTTTGCATTATCAACAATCGGCCATGAGTTTTAGTCGCTTTCAAATCGTCAGTCTTTTGAATAGGAGCTCTTTTAGGGTTTACTTAACATCCTTTCTGAATATCTGACGCACTCGAATAATTTTTTTTTATATTTTCTACCCATTTGTACAGCCACCCCCACCATGCAAACCGGCAGATTAATATTCCTCCGTTATCCCAAACACGTGGGGCGCATACATTATTAATATCTAAAGCGCCAGAGTATTTCTTTGTGATTGTTTTTTTTACATTTTTGAAAATCTGTACACGCTCCCCCCACCAGTGAAAGAGCATAAATCATATAAACTTTTTTTCTTTCTAGTATTTAATCTTCACAATTCAAGAGGTCCCCACGACGCTTGAGTAAATCCCCATTTAGCCTCTTGGGCTCCCCTACTATTATCTATCGTTCGAGATGTAGATAAGCAATAACACTGTATGTCTCTTAAAAAAATTCACAGGTCCGGATTAAAATACCTCATAAAATAGTATTTTGTAAAGTATAAAGTAAAGTATATTGTAAATTATATTGCAAAGTATACTGTAAAGTAATATTGTTTGTATATTGTAAAGTATATTGTACAGTATATTGTACAGTATATTGTAAAGTAAAGTATATTCTAAAGTATTGTTACGTTGTGGTGTGTTGAGAATGAAAAAATATTATTATATTAATGATATAATGTTACTGAAACTTACTTAGGTGTGTAGAACTTACTTTGTAAAAATGTAAAATAAACAAATTCAGATAAAAATTGTTTGATAAATTAATTGTAAATTATTAAAACACAATGTTTCTCTATTAAAAAAAAAAACAAAATTCAAAAGTATACCGTGGGCGCCAGCAAATCTTTGCCACACCCATTTCTGCTCCAGTATCCCCAAAGTAAAGTATGTCGTAGATTATATCATAAAATATATCGTAAAGTATATTGTAAAGTATATTGTCAAGTATGTTGTAAAGTATATTGTGAAGTATATTGTAAAGTATATTGTAAAGTATATTGTAAAGTATATTGTAAAGTATATTGTAAAGTATATTGTAAAGTTTATTGTAAAGTATATTATAAAGTATCTTGTGAAGTATATTGTAAAGTTTATTGTAAAGTATATTGTAAAATATATTGTAAAGTATAAAGTATATTTTAAAATATATTGTAAAGTAAAGTACATTGTAAAGTATAAAGTAGAGATGGGACTTTTCATGAAAAGTAATTTTTGGAATAGTCCGATGAAGATTTCCGGAAAAGTAGTGAAAAGTCACAATGAAAAGTGGTCGACCTTGGTCATGGAACTCTTACAGTTAAATCTCCATCTTGGATGTTTTTTTAAAAACACATTGGGAACAATATTTGCATTTGTATTTTCGTTTTTTTGGGAAATCATTAGTAAAATACTTCCAACCTTTGGATTTTTTGGTAATTTTTTCATGAGTTTATTTGAATAAGATATGAAACGAAAATTCGAAAACATCGTTAAAACGTTATAAACGTCAGTAAACATTTGTATATTGTAAAAGTATATTGTAAAGTAAAGTATATTGTAAAGTATACTGTAAAGTATAAAGTATATTGTAAAGTATAAAGTATTTTGTTTAAGATAACGAGTCGTATAATTCCAGACAGATTAGAGAAAGTTAAATAAATAATGGGGAATTAAGAGTATCTAGGTACCTATTTGTAGAATTGACTGCTTCATCGATTTTAGAAACGCGACCGTGTGTTGATAACTCAAGTAGTTATGACCTTACAATATTTCTGGTTCTACTTTACAAGCTCTTACTATCGATCTAAGTAACAATTCGAGCATTTTCTTAATCATAAATAACGAGTTGCTCGCTGTGACAAAAAGAAATTTTCGTCGAATACTAAAATCATTGAAGCTGTGGTTATTTCAAAGTTTCTATTATTTTCAAAGGTTGAAAGGTCTTGAATATCATTGGACTAAATGTGTAAATGTTAAAAGAGAAAAATGAATACAATTTCCCCAAAAAGTTGTTTTTTTTTTTAGTTTTATTCCGATATATTTTATGAAGAACAGAATTTTCAAGCTCGCATTTTTTTCATCATATATTTTTAATAAACTCACCTTTCTCAGACTTGCCACCGCCGCCCATTTTGCTCTTATGAGAACTCGATGCCAAATTTATCATTTTATCGAACATCTTCTCGTTCTTTTCCAAACATGGCACTGGATTCACCGGCGCGCTATCGGGTACTGCTTTTTCTTGGGAATGGAACTGCAAATGCCTTACCATATTCGTCCTAACTTTGGTAGTGTACGTACAAATTCCACATCTAAAATTGTTTTCATCACTTAAATAAGATAATAATGTATGTGCGACTGCCCAAGAATTTAATAAAATTATGTAGTCCTTCTCCTTGGAAGTTTTATTTATTTATTTATCTCACGTTGTACAAATTTGTTTAAGTTGAATTGAATACCACATTGTGAGTTATGTAAAAAAATAATTTTTCTAGTGCTATAATACAAAACTACACTTTATTAGTTATTTTTGAATTAGTAGTAAATTCCTTATTTTGTACCTTAGAGGTAAATAATCTTATTTCAAATCTTATAAATTTAGAAAAAGGTATAAAGTTTAAAATTTTCCTCTATAAAAATGAAAATACTATTTTTTCTAAACATAGTACATCAAAAACTAGTAATTATTTTGAATAATACAAAACTGGAGAGGATTCTTTACCTCTGAGGTAAAATGTTATTTTAAATTATAATCATTAAATAATTATCTATCATTTGAATTTAATAAACCAAAAACTAATGAGTAGTGGCGTGTTATAGCTAAAGAAAAAGTATAGTGTTCAACTCACAAGTAATGCGCATTTCTTACTCGCTAAAAAATATAGGGTGAACCAACCAAATTAAATTTTTTCGTATTAATGCAAAAAAAACTAAAAAAAACCCAAACAAAAAAATAAAAAAAACAAAAATCTAAAAACAAAAACAAAAAAAACAAAAAAACGCCTGTACAGGTCGATTTTAATTTGGAGGGGGAAACTTTTTTACTTTCCTGTCTGTATGCAAATAAGGACAGTATATTAGATCATGATTTTTTTTTACCTCGAGTTTTCGACGACTTTTTACGTTTTAGAGTCCCCTGAATCCGTGTCGACTATTTTCGTGATGATGTATGTATAATCGATAAATCATAAATGCATACAGAGCAAAACATCAAATTTTAAACTTAAGGTTTAATCCATCCTACAGTAATCTAATTACATTTTGGACATAGTCGGAACATCTTGGGAGATACTTTATACAGGGTCGCTTTTCTTTTTTATATCTCTTATTTACGCTTGGAAAAGAAAATTATTCAAATAAAAGTTGCTTGTAATGTTATTTTACCTAATTTGCGGCCCAAAAAAAAATAAAAATGCAATTTCCTGGGTTTTATCTTAAGAAAAGAATGCAAAAAATGTACTTTTTATATTAACACTACGAAATTAGCTAAACAAGATTTTAAAACAAAAAAAGATATTCTTTATAAAAGTTTCTAAAATGTATTTAGATCATTAAAAAACAACCATATTTCTATGTCATAATAATCAACTTATGTTAATTATCAGGAAAACGAAAAAAAAACAAAAACAAAAAACAAAAAAAACAAAAAACAAAAAAAAAACAAAAGAAAAAAGAAGCAATAACCACAAAAAAACAAAAAACAAAAAAACAAAAACAAGAAAACCAGAAAACAAAAAAAACAGAAAACAAAAAAAAACAAAAAAAAAACAAGAAAACAAAAACAACACTCGTACAGGTCGATTTTAATTTGAAAGGGGACACTTTTTTACTTTCCTGTCTATATACAACTAAGGACAGTATGAGAATCATAATTTTTTTTCGACCTCGAGTTTGCGACGGCTTTTTACGTTTTGGGGTCCCCGTTTTGACTATTTTCGTGATAATTGAGAAAATGTGCAAAATTCGAATTTTTAAGAAAATTGTTAAAATAAAAGTTGTTTGTGATATCATTCTCTATAATTTTTATTTCATACATAATTTCTCTATAATGAACGGTATTCGAGATATTTGAGAAAAAGTGAAAATTTCGAATTTTGAAGTTAACTCAAAAACGGATAAAGAGAAGAACGCAAAATTTTAAATTTAAGCTTTAATCCATCCTTCGGTGAACTATTAAATTTTGGGCATAGTCGGAACATCTGGGGGGTACTTTATAGGAAGTTGTTTTTCTATTTTATAGAATATTGCTATTATTTACGCTTGGAAAAGAAAATTCTTCAAATAAAAGTTATTTGCGATATCATTCTCTATAATTTTGTTCTATATATGATTTCTCTAAAATGGGCCGTAATTGAAAAATTTGAGGAAAAGAATAAAATTTTAATGTTTCAATATTTTCGTTGGCCATGAATGTATATAAAAAAATGTTTCGAGTAAGATATGTATTTTGTTCATTCTCTAAACATTTACAGGGGTGATACAATAGGTAGTATAAAATAATCGGAAAAGACTGTAATAAGTAGACAGGAAAGTCATGTGTTGGATACATCAATTTTTTTTTCTAATTAGAGCATCTGCACTTCGACCCTCGAGCATCAATGACATTTGATGGAGAATTCGGCATTGCATTAATTTTGATTTTAGCGCCTTTTAGTTTGATAAAAAAATTCATCAGTCTGAAAATTAGTCATTGTTTGCATTATTGGTAACTTTATTTTGGGCAATGTGGAGAGAGATTGAATAAGTAATAAAATTAGCTTCCAAATAAAGTGTCACACTTTACCGCTAAAATGAAGAGTGCGCAATGAATAATTTTATTGCCGAATTACTACCAAATTATCTTTTCAATGATGTGTCATCCTCGGTACTTTTCCTATTTAAATTGTAGGGCTTGTTCACCCCACTGCTCGAAGGTTGAAATGACGATGCTGCAATTAGAAAAAAGTGTCCCTGTCCAAATTAAAATCAACCAGTCCGAGCGTTTTTATTTTTTGCATCAATACGAAGAAAACCTGGGTGAAAAATTTTCGATGACCCACTCCGCATCTATTTTTTGTAATAATTCTTGATTATACCATTAATTTTTATGAAAACCCTATATTTTTATGGTTTTTACACCTTATTTAAAAAATTTAGTTTTTGATATTCTTGGGTTGTATTTTCTTACCATTACCCACAATTTCCCTTTTTTTTTTAATGTAAATTGCACCGACTTTTCAAAAAATTATTGCATTACCCCCAAATTTAAACAAAATTACCCCCAAATAGGACAGAAAATTACTCCGATTTCCAAAAAAACACCCGAAATAAAATTAAGTAGCTGTTACCAAAAAGTAACGTACGAGAAAACATTTAACTTCACGTGTGTAACATCAGGAGTACCCCAAGGCTCTGGCCTCGGTCCCTTTTGTTTTTAATCTATATTATTTCAGACCGTTATAAATTATTGTAGCACATATATTTCTTTGACTCACGTAAAGTAGATATAGCTTCATACAAAACATAAATATAGATCTAAATGATAATAATAATAATAATATTCTAAATGAACCTCTAAATCATGTAGAAGTGCCAAAAAATGTAGGCATTATTTATTTATGACTGCTAATTGAGGTTTCAAGACTGCGTTTCGGCTTCCAATTAAAAAATGGTATCTAGTTATCCGTTAATTATACAGTAATCGAGATATTTTGAGTTTAAAGTTACGTAAGATGCTTTGTTAAAGTCTTGTCCATTATAAATAATGCAATATTAATGTACTATCCTTGTTTGGATCAAATAACCAAATATCAAGTAAAATTAAAGAAGTTGGAAATGTATTTAAATATCAGACGGTATTTCGAATTCTTTCTGCCTCAATTCCCAAATATTTAAAAAATAAATTGATATTTCGGAAAGATCTCCACAGTTTACATTTGAAATACCCAAACGACTTAACAATTCCTAGTTGTCAATAATTATTTTTTTAAAAGATCTTTTATTATATAACAGTCTATCTAAGGACATTAGGACTTATTATCTATAATATTTTTAAAACAAAATTATAAAATATTACCCCAAAAAAATATATAAAAGCAGTCGTTTACAAAAATTAAAAATAGTTGCATAGTAGAAAAAATGCTGTAAAAAAGATAGAAGAAAAATACTTAATGATTCATTAAATAATATTAATTTAAACAAAAATATTAAAATAGTACTGGATAAAACACAAACAAGTGTTGAAAGCTTTACAGTTTAATTTGAAAAAAAAAAAAAAACATACAACCCAGAAATATCAATAACTAAAATGTTTTGTAATGTTTCAACAATATTATTGTTATTGGAGAATCTACATAAATCACTTATCGTCACGATAATACAAGAAATGGCACTACAGTAAACAGGTTAACTCTTTTGTCGGATCAAAAACGTAATGTCATTTATTAAACGAAAAATTAACTTACTTCAAATCGGAGCTAAATATGGAACGAATAGGAATTTTCTCGATTTCATCAGGACCATAAATATTGTCCGTAATTGTGCTCGATAAAGGTAACTCAACGTTGATGGTTTCCTTTGGTACGGACTCGCTCATTTGCGATTTCGGTTTAATAATGAATTCTTCGCAACCAGAAGCCAATTTTCCAGGTAAGAGAGATTGAGTTGTCTGACCGATGCTATGACGTGTTTTCATGTGAAGCCTGGAAAGATTTTTGAAATTATTAAATTTAAATTACTGCAATGACATTTTAAACTATACATTTTCAAAGAGTATTCGACGCACATAGGGGTATTTGAACGATTTAGGCGACCAAAATTATTTTTTGGTCTATATGGATTCTAAACGATATTAATAAATAAAATAAAGGTTTTAATGTTTAATTAACCTATATTTATTAATAAAAAATATAGACATACAATTTTATCTAACATTATTCTTATAAATTTTCATCTTTGCTTTCTGAAGAATTACCAGCTTCAAGCGGCTTTGCAGATATTAGTAAATTAATTGTTTCTGGCAAAAAAGTCTTGGCGGTATGAGCAGAAATGCTTGTTACGCGCTTCTGCAGCTTCTTCAGACAGCTGCCCAATAGGCAACAATGTAGTTTTTATTATAACTGCACCATGAATAAGTATTTTGTGGATCATTGGTGTCATTGGGTGTGTTTAATCACAAATATCTATCTTCACATATTTCGACCAGATCTGGCAAAGCCGACAACTATTGGCAGCTTGGATGTGCGTGATTAACAGAACTCGAACATTCTCTCATCGACACCGAAGAGTCACAACAAATTTTTCATGTTATAGTTTATCAACTAAGAATATTAACAAAGACAATAACTTTCAATGTGTTAGTGTTTATTAATAATAAAAATACACCATCAACAATCTATTTCAGGGTGTCAAGGGTACAGCTGCGAACAGCATCTAATGCGTATTTGTTATATTTTTCCAGATCAATTATATGTCCGCTCGAAATCATTTCTAGTATGACCCTTAATTTATAAATTGTCATAACTAATGCCCGTTATTTCGGAAGCCACTCTCGGGTCTTCAAAAAATCTTCGGCTCGTGTTTTCATCATTTGTGTTGCCAAAATTTGTCTTTGATATATCCACCAACAAACCAGCTCCATTGCGAAATCTTGTCTGGATTTCCAGTTTTTCTCTTTTTCAATATTTTTTTCCGTTTCTGTTTTTCTCTCTCTCTGTATTTTTTCACTGGCAATGTATAAGCCAAGTGGAGAATGCTTTCAAAAAGACGAATCCTTGCATGTAGCTTCATGATTAATCTGGTTTTTAAAATCTAATTAGTTGAAGTCCTTAGAGGTTGCACCACATATTGTCGTTAATATCACGAAGTAACGTAACTCGAAAAATTGAAAATTGAGATGTCACATAGTTATGTAAAAAAGTATGCTCTACAATTTCATGAAATTGCGTATCTCAAGTCATTACATTTATTAAAATAGCACGTATCTAACCGTATGTATCGGATAATTTTACGGAGAGACATAACTTTATAAAAAAAACTTTAAAACGCTCTCTTGTAAAGTTGTAAAAATCGAGTTACGTCACTTCGTGATATTGACGACGATATGTAACATTGGCTTGTGGATTTTGTACCAGTGGCAGCATTACAGACCTTGCCGTCTACCATTGTCATAATGAACACATGTTTAACCAAAAATTATGTTCCATTTAAGTCCACCTCTGTAGCGTTTAGCGACTTAGCAGATTTTTTCACAAAAGTTATTTCTTCTTCCATTATGTCAGTAGTCTCTTTAATGAATCGGAATCTTATAGGTCGACAATACCGTGGAGAAGAGGGTGTTGCGTTTGCCCATACAATTTTTTTCATCCTTACCACAAACCAATCGTAGAGGAACGAAACAGCTCTGAAATATGTTCGCGTCTGAGTTGACATGCATCATTTTCCAATTTTTTATTTTATTTTTGAATTTTATTTATTTACGGAAAATCTCCTTTTACCAAATAATTATTATCAGTAGATATTTTAAACCTAACCTAAAGTATCACACAAAAAAGAAAAAAAAACTTAAATATCACAATAAACTTAGAGCTAAAGCTAACTCGATAAGTACTCCCTCAGCTGATTTTATTTCCTTGCCTTTGAAATCTGGTTAAAGGACTGTTGAGTCCGTAGTTCGTATGATGGAAGCTGATTGAAAATAATGGTTTCTCTCTAATATTTATGTTGTTTAAGCTAAAGTTTATTAGCTCCAACATATCCGGACAAGCTATATTCCCTTCCAGGAGGTTATAAAGAAATAAAAGATCATTACTAATTAATGTTTTCTCAACTGACAATAACTCATTTACCAGCGCCTGTTCTAACGCAGACATAGTTTCAAACTCGCCATAATTTTGTCTAAGTCTTCTTCCCAAGTTGTCCCACAAATGCTCCATGGGGTTAAGGACTGGGTTTCTAGGAGGCCAGGCTAGTATCTAAATACCAACATCTGTAAAGTATTGCATAGTTACCCTGGCTATGTGCGGCCGAGCATTATCTTGCATTAGAAGAAAATTTTCACCTACAAAATGCATATAAGGTACCACATGTTCTTCCAGACATTTCCTAATGTATCTATCAAAATTAAGGCCAGCTCCCTCTAACATAACAAGATCTGTATGTGCTTCCAAAGAAATGCCGCCCCATACCATTGCTCCTCCACCACCAAACTGTACTCTAGGAGAGAAACAACATTGGGTATAGCGTTCTCCAGGTATCCTCCGTACTCTTTGGCGACCATCAGGTGAGTATCTTCTATATCCCAATCTGCATAAGCACGAGAGAATTCTAAGCATTGTCTTCGATGAGCTGCATCCAGTAAAGGGCCTGTGGCAGGTACATAAGACGATACATTTTGTTCGCTTAATCTTCTGAGTACAGTATCAGGTGAAACTACGGTTTGTTACCCTTGGTCTTCCCTATCCAGGTCTTCTAGAGTAAGAACAAGTTTATCTAAATCTTCGTAAAGCATCAGATATTGTGCTTCGCGGAACGCCAAGCATTTCTTCCGATATAACGAATGGAACGACCATCATTATGTAAGGCAACAGCTTGCGCTACTTGATCTGGCCTCATTTAAAATTTTTCTTAATAAAATCACTTTTATTTTCAGAAAAAGCAACCAACCACACACCAAAAAGGCATACAATCAATTTAACAAGCATTATTTTGTAAGTAAATATTCGATTATCGAGAACACCTTAACAAAAACTTACTTTTCAGCCATAAAAAACGAATGGATAAAGGCAACTTATATTTTGATAAATATTATATAGGGCAATTCAACAAAACTAAAACGAGAAAACTTTAAAATTTCACGTGTCCGGTTAATTTTGCGGTGCAGTGTAGTTATAATAACTTTTCATTTGCCAATCATATTTTGGCTGAAAACCACTCTTTTAGCGATAATTTTGAAAGTTTACATATAGAAAATAAGGGAACTAAAGTAAAAATTTTAAAAATTCAGCTTATTTGCTAAATAACAGTCAATTAAACATCCATAATTCACCTCCTTTTTGTAAAAAGCTACCATATTTTGATTTTTCTCCTAGTAATAATAGATGTTTTCGACAAAAAAAATGCAAAGTATTCGAAAAGTACTTATCCACTAATTTTTTGATTACTTATTACTCAAAGCTCCAAACTTTCGTATGTAATAAGAAATATAACAGGATATACATTTTTCGTATAACTAATTCTTTATTCTCAAATCATCGGTCAAAAATATGCTATATTACTTGTAACTTTCAATACACTTAAGGGCCCCACTCACCTCGTTCTTCTCCGCCGTTTTTAACCGACGGTTAAAAACGTCAGGGTAAAAATGTCACAAAAACGAGGTGTATGTGCAAGAACGTCGTTTATGAACGTCGTTCCAAAATTTCAGGAGAGTCTTGATTTTTGACGGTTATCGTGCCAACCGTTCGAGTAAACACGAGGTGTGTGTTCTCAACAGTTTGACTGGTCGGGCATTTATCAGTAGCAGTGACGTTAGCATGTTTTTTGTTGTTTATTATTATTTACAACTGGTTATAATAAAAATGTCGGATATTAGGCAGTGGAACAGAGATTTTTTATTAGAGTTTATCGAGCTTGGCAGGTTTCGGGTATTATGCGTCCTAGTGCCCGTGGTGAAATATTAACAGAAAACTTCAGATCCTCGTAGCTGCGACCAGTGGCCAGAAACCGCAGAGTAGCTGTTAGGCGTTCGTGAGGACTGATGCATTCCCGTGAATGGGTATTATGTCTCTCAATTAACGGTGTTACTAGTTTTAACAGTTTCCAATACGTATCCTCAAGTAATTGTGCCAATCACCAGGCTCCAATCTTAGCTCCTCCAATAAATTTGTTTGTGACAGTGTACTGCGTTTAAGTAGCCAGTCTTCAGTCCATTTTCTTAGAGATTTTCTTTTTTCGCGATTTTTTTCCACTGCCAAAACCGCTGCCACTGCTATAAAACAAGCACGTACGGTCCATCGTGATAAACTGGCGAGAAAAAAACTGTTGTGTGTGGACATATCAGTCAACGTTTTTCGATTAAAAACGGAGAAGAAGAACGAGTTGAGTGGGGCACTTTTGACAATCTTAAAAATGATAAAAATTATAAAAAAAAATATTACAGATAGTGTGTCATTACCTGCTATACTAGGATCCATAACTTTTTCCTTAGAAAAAAAAAGTAAGATGATAAATATTCACTGTTTTATAGTCAAATTCAAACTGTCAGTGAAGAAGCGGGGTGCACTGAAGGAAAACGGGAGGGGATGGATAATGTGCTCTAACTAGTAACCTAACCTAGGTAGATAATTCAAATACCCCTATGTGCGACGTCTGGAATAATTTTTCCTTACCTGGCTTGAGAAGAATTCGGAAATTTGATAGCGCACAACGAACACGAATATCGATGCACCCCATGGCACTGGATGTGTTCCGCTAATATATGCGGGCTTCTGAAAGGCTTCCTACAATGAATACAAATATACGGTTTATTTAGAAACTCCGTAGACAGACAGTCCGCCGATTTCGCGACATGCTTCCTGAAATCGGAACAATTCGAACAGGAAAATTCGCACTGTGCGCATCTGAATAGTTGATATCCTAATAACCCGGATTTCAATTTGGATTTGCCGCTTTCGCTTTCGTCTTCGGAACTGTACGTCACGGTTTTGGATGTAGAAGCATCTCCTAGGTCTAAAGGATCTACGTCGCATTCGGATATATCGTCCTGATTAGTTTCTTCGCTTAAAGTGACGTGTTCCAGAGGTGCCAAGCTTGCAATACTTGGTGCTGTTTCTAGCAGATTCGAACTTTCCATTTGAACTGAAGCGTTTAAAGCCGGCATTGTCGATGATTGAGTCGGCAAAGTCAATGCTTTGGTTGTAATTGTCTGGAAAGAAATTATTTTTTATTAATCACTATCATTATTCATTTGATAAAAATAATGACTTGTAAGAAAGATGTTTTATTTTTAACAATTTATTTCATAGCAAACATTATTCAGTTGAATCCGGCTAAGACCAGAATATCTACATGAATAGTAAAACGATGAGATAAAATACAGTGACCGGCAAATCAAAAACATCTATATGGGGCAATTCAAAAATAAATTAAACGATTCAATAATAATAAATTCTATAAATTAAACTTAACCGTGGCAATAACAAAATAAGAATTGTTTGAAGGCACTGTAAAAAACATACATAAAGATCATTTTCGAGATATTTTGTGATTAATAACAAAATATTATAAATTAATAATAAGTTTATTTAAAGTTACAGATGCATTGCTTATACCGGTTCGCTAATTAAAAATATCTATCTGAGACAAAAAAGCTTTTTCTACCACTTCCCCATGCAAACCTTATACTCACATATCATAAAAATGATTTTTGTTTTATAAAGAATAAACAAACTTTGTCGTAGATTCTCGTTAAGCTCATAATGGTCGTGCTTAACCTTATACGTACCTAGTACATAACGTTGCCAAGCCTTTCGGCGATCTTGTTTTAAGGGGACATAATAACATTACTATACAACGTAAATGCAACGTTCATGAGAAGTTGTTAAGGGAAATCAAAACCTCGCAAAACTTCTATTTGTTTCTTATCTATTTAACACAACGTAATAAATTAATTTGCTAAAAAAAATATCCTCGAGAAGTACTGTGAATATCATAATCTGAATTCGGAACGTTAATTTTTATGTCAATTGTTACTTGTCATTTGTCATGTTTTTGATGGTTTATTTTTTAACTTGGACAATTTATTTTATAAATAATTATTATTTATACATTCGAGTCTATTTGGTAAGGGTCCTCTATTTTCTAAACCATTGTCTTTGTTTCAGATTACAATGCCTGGTGTAAATTTAATATTTCATTCATTAGGTACCCAATACAAAATGGTTTAACTACAATAAAAACAAAGAATGGCAGATAAATCGTTGTAAACGAGAAGATAAACATTTAACCGAATGTCCAGTAATATTTTACACTAAATGCTTACAAAAGAGATACAAAACTAACTTCTAGGTAATTATACTTAATCGAACTAAAAATACATTTTAAAAATATTATATTTTAGGTTTCCTTTGACATTCTAGGAATTTTAGAAGCAAAAGTAAATACAACAGAATTAACTAAAGAAGAATATATAACACCTGAAATTTTATTAATAGTGAATCTATAGCTAGGTACTTGGTGTATAAATTAAAAAAAAAACATCAGATTCAAGCAGTTCACTCTCTTCAACAGGTTAGATGTACCTGGAAATCTAACCATTAGTTCAAGTGCAAACCCAGAAGAAAAGTTGAGAGAAATCACAGATGATGCTCTCGAGTATAATAGCAGATATCTTGCTAAAAAAACATGCATTGTTTTTTATAAAATCTGCATAACTTGGAAATTAAACATAAAATTATTAAAATTCAAACAAATTTCAATACACTAACATTGGTTGTTTTATTTAAAACAACAAAGTAAGGCAACATATCTAAAAATAAGTGCAACGATTTAAACTTGAGCACATTTTTTAATTTCTATATAATTTCCTTTAATAATATTTAAACAAGTAGGTCAATCTCTTTTTTATTCAATATGTTGAGTAAAATAATAGTTATTTATGGTACTAGTGTGTTATGTTGAAAATAAATCACGCGAGGCCGTCAGGCCGAGTGGTATAAATTCTGAAATGACTTAGGAAACAACACACGAGTGGCATACAATTATTATCCAACAAACAAGTGGAAGAAATCGTTTTTTATGAGATAATAATTAATAAGTTTTGTGATCAAATCAAAGCTACTTGCGGCTCAGTACCCTATAAATGTCAGAACGACTTGACAGTGTGTCGGCGTCTTCCAGCACTATCAGCAGCTGTACCGATATGGGAGCGTCTGGTTCCAATGAACCAAGGAATTTTACAATGACTTCAAATTCGAATAAACCGTTAGCGTTTTCCTTTAATTTCAATATCAATGTGAATTCTGCTTGTAATAGTAATAAATCAATAGAATATTACTTTAAATATGAACGTTATAATTCATAACTTACTAGTGAGTTATATATTCCATAACTCACTAGTGAGTTATGGATTATAACACACTAGTGTGTTATTTGATAGTTTACTTGTCTAAAAATATATCAATAATGACAGTCACAAAATATTTAATCCAACACATAAAAAGATTTATCGAACAATGAACATCAAACATATTTTCTTTAGAAAATTTAAAAATTTGGCAAAATTGTCATATTGTATGTAATTTGAACCGCAGATTCCAAAAACGTAAAATATACAGTTAAAAAATTAGACTTAAAAGCATTTTCGATAAAATCCTGTTTTTTTTTTGGACGATTTTTCAGGAAAGACAATTAAATTCAGACAAAATCTCAAACGTGAGCACTACCGGTTCTCTCAAATTCACCAAAAACTCTTAATAATGTTCAAAAGCAAAAGAAACCTCGAAAAAAAGGACAACTAAAGAAAACTACAGCAACAAGATCAACCGAGGCCAAGATGCCTGGAGTATTTTTTAATGCTTGAATTTAATATTCAAAAGAAAACATGTATTGCAATAAAATCAACAATTAGGTTATTAATCTAGTCAATGGCTTACAAGTTTTTTCCTAGTATAAAATAAACCCTACAAACCAAAGTCTCTTTTAACACCACCATACTTGAACGAATTTAAGTAAAAACTTAAATAATTGTCTAAAAATAACTGGAAAAATAAATATAGAAATGGAGCTATTAATCTATTTCTCTCTAATTAGAATCTTTGATGCGATTCTCGATCATATTATCAAGGCGACAAAAACATTGTTTACTGTCCTCTGTGTACTACTCTGAGGGTAGAACGTTGGCATTCTAACAAGTACAACTGTCACGTAATTTACTTGTTGGAAAGAGGGAAGATTTTGAGTTATTTTTGAAGTACATTTAAGATGACCACAATAAAGCAGTTGGATACTTTTCTTCATTTAAATTAGTTAAGTTTTTTTTTTAATTTTCTCATATTATGTCTAATTTTTTGTTAGGTAAACAAGTTTTCTTTTTAATCATTTTATGTGGTGTCTACAGGCGCCATTTTGACTGACACTATTTTGTTCAGTGCTATTTCGTGACAAAACCAAATGTTCTAAGTTCTATTAAACAAAATAATAGAAGCAATAGTTGGAATCAGCTAAAGGTTTTAACGCCAAAACTTTAGGGGTATATACAGTATGTCTCCCTAGGTTGGAATCATATGGAAAACTTTTTTTATTATTAATTTTATAAAAAAAAATTATTCTTCATAAAAAGTTCTGCATTATCTAAAACCTAGAATACATTCATCACATATCAAATTTTTTCAGTGGTATACGAGGTTTGTCAAAAAATATGAGTTTTACTCAAGAGTAAAGAAGCTTTATTCTTTATACGACTGATAAAATTTGATATTTGATGGTTGTATTTTAGGTTTTAGACCATGCTCGACTTTTTATAAAGAACAACTTTTTTTCCTAAAATTAGTAATAAAAAAGCTTTCCTATGCCACAACTGTCTACGTAATTTGGCAGCATATGAAAATCTTTTTTTATTAATATTGGGAAAAAGTTATTCTTTATAAAAAGTCGAGCATGGTCTAAAACCTAAAATAGAACCATCAGATATCAAATTTTATCAGTCGTATAAAGAATAAAGGTACTTTACTTTAGAGTAAAACTCATATTTTTTGACAAACCTCGTATACCACTGAAAAAATTTGATATTTGATGACTGTATTCTAGGTTTTAGATAATGCAGAACTTTTTATGAAGAATAATTTTTTTTCATAAAATTAATAATAAAAAAGTTTTCCATATGATTCCAGGGGAACATACTGTATACAGTATTTGTTACGCCACTTAAATGTATATATAATGCAATTTTAGTAAAAGGCTAATTGTTTCAAACCTGCATGTCCATTATAGAGTTTTATGCACTCATAATTATGTAAAGTTGTTATGTAATACAATGCATTTTAATTCCAACATTTCATAACAAGTATCAGGCAATTCACCAATAAAAATCATACTTTCTACAAATCTATAGTCCGCTTCCAGCTGACAGGAATGAATCCTTACTTAGGTAACGAAGATGAGAAGAAAAAGAAATCGACGTCATTTAAAGGCAGTTAATTAATATTATATTAGAAACCATAAATGTTTTATAATTCAACGTCATGTAAAAATTGGAATAGATATTTAAACAGTATAATTTAACTTAGATACACTCTACAAAATAATAGAATTCACAGTTGGAACCAGCTAGATGCTTTAACACCAAAACACTCATACAAAACATATTTTAAATCAACTTACCGAAGTCGTCTGGTTAACTGAACCGATCACGGATAAGTTCATTTGACCACCATTCACGTTCATCAGAGAATTTTGCCCAGCTGCATTGACTTTCGTTAAAGAAGTCGGTGTAACCTTTAACAAAGCATTTTGTCCGGTCGTATTCGCTTTCAGCAAAGAATGTTGCGTAGTTGTGTTCATTTTTAATCCTCCGACAGGAGAATTCGTAACCAAATATACGTTGCCCGAAGAAGTCGTTACCGAGGAACCCGGTGGCATACTTCCAACCGTCGGTAGTAAAATTGGTTTCGACAAGTTCACATTTGAAGTCGTTACTGTAGAAGCCGATGGAATACTTCCGGAAGTCGATAGTAAAATTGGTCTCGACAAGTTATTTTGAGGCGCACTCGTGACTACTTGCAGGGGCGGAATATACTGCGCGGTTTTCACAGGCTCCTGAACCATTGGGGGTACTTCATCCTTCTCGCCTTCAGTTATATTTGGTAAAGTTGCAATCCTTCTCATTCTTTTAAATGCTTCAGCACTATAACCTAGCAACATATTATCCTGGAAACAATAATTATTATAAGTATGTACCATTTTCATCAATATCGTAAACTTACCGGTTTAGGAGATATTATCCTGACAAGGATCTCTGGATTTAAATTCTGATGCGTTTGAGATAAATGATGGTACATCAAGTTAAGTTCGTTTGAGTTCGTCTTGCAGTAGCTGCATTGATAAACGGAAATTGCATGAGCTACCGACCAATGGTGGATCATTTTAGAAACCATTACTCTACTGGAACAATCGTCATGGCCGCAAGTCAGGAAGCCTTGATGTTGTTGCGTTAAGTGTTCATTAAATTCGTTCTCGAAAAGAAATTCAATGTGACACGCTAAAACAACAAATAATTCTTTCATTTTTAACTACATTGCGTTTCATCAATTACTAGTTTACTTAACACCTGGACGAAACGAGGGGTTTAATACACGTGATGTGATGTACCTTGGAAGAATTGAAAGGGATTCTGGTAAACTGAGTTGGTATCGAATCTAAATATTCAAATTAACGATTAGGATGCCATATACACAAACGCTCTGGTGGTCTATGAGTTAGGATGTTTTTTGAAAATTTTTCAAATGTTATTTGGTTTGTTATCGCCCTCCGATTTATACAAGTAATTCGTTGTTTAATCTTAGAAGGTAAAAACCGCTCCGATAGATGGCATATAAGTCACGATGCACCGACGACTTCTTTGAGTTGCCATGGTAATGTGCCGATTCTCTAAATGAGGGGTAATACTTTAGCGACAACCAGATGGCGTTACAGAGCCGTGACAAGTTTTCAAAATGGGTTATAATTAAATTTATTCTGATATACAGTCTTCAGCAATCTTCGTATCATGCAATAATAAATTATTGATGTATTCAGTTGACTAAGGGCTGATCTCTAAGTAAAGTTATATGTAGGTTTACTTGACAGATAACGTACAATAGCCCTATATTTTAATCAGCAAGTAGTTACTTTCAACTTTACTCAGAGAGATTGACCCTAAAACTAACATTAATAATTTCAGCAGTACCCCTAAAACAATGGCACCGATTGCCCTATTTGACAGAACTGATCCACAAATCACTAAGAACAGCTATTTTCATTAGGTTTCTTGTTTTACCAGATCACGTGGGAAAAAATTGCAATTTTTATCACCGTTTTATGTAAATAAAAATAGAAAAAGAAAGCAAGTTGCTGTATGTATTATTAAGAAACAAGATAGTACAGCCTAACGAAGATTATACTGGACTGTATTATTAAGAAACAAGATAATAGAGCCTAACGCAGATTATACTGGACTGCATCACAATGATACCAATCTTATGAGATACGGAAATGAGATATGAAAGGAAAAGTTAGCTCTATTCCAATAACAATCAAAAATAAGTAAATGACACCAAGATTCTGCGCAATAGTTAATTGGGACTGCCAAATTATCTACTGCGCAGAATCATGGTGTCTGTGACTGATTTCTAATCGTTGGAACATACCACTAGTATACACTTTATTTTATGACTATAGTGACGAAGGTCCATGTTGTATATACAAATTGTTATCCAATCTGTGCCAGCCTTAAAGTGTCATTGACATGTGAACTCTCGTCTCTAGCTGCCTAGCCTGGCTTATAGCAGCCATTACAGATGCGCAAGTTTGTTATGCTCTTCTCTCTATTCGAGCAGACTTTACTACCTACCAAAATTTCGGAGGAATAGCTTTGATTTTATAACGGTGTTGTTTTTACACCGAAATACCAAAATCTACATAAATTACGATCCAAAACAACATTTTTATGATGAAAAACAAGACAGACAAAACGAATCAATCTGGTATACACAGGTTAGAAGATGAAAAACAGCACAGAAGCAGGAATGTATCATTCAAATTCAAGGAGAATCAATAGTCTAAACCAGGAGGGATTACTGGCAATAGTATTCCAGGCTGAAATAAAAGCAATAAATGCCTGTGCCCAGGTTATTGCTAAATGATTCTCGTAGAGATGAGAATCTTTATTATAACAGTCAGGCACTGAAAAGGATTAAACTGCCTTCAGTTCCTACAGGCACTGGCAGAACTAAACAAGATCCCTCTTGAATGGGTGCCGGAACATGAAGGAGTGTTGGAACACAAGAAAGCATACCTCCTAACCAAGAAGGGAACTGAGAAACTCTAATTGGTCCAGAAGCCACATGTTAGATGGACGCTAATGGAACAGATAGAGAACACCATAAGAATTGTTTGGAACTTCCTGGACTCAGACAGTCCAAAATATTCATAGAGTACATCCAAGAGCAGACAAAATCAACTGCTAAACCTTAGCAGGAACGAACTAAAGACCATAATAAAACTCTTTACAGGACACTGCGTCCTTAGGCCGCGTACAGGCAGAATTTCCAACGCCAGCCAACGGCACATGTGAAATGCGTTGGTTTTGGTGTGTACGGCGGCGGCGAATCAAAGGCAACACTTTCCAATTGGCTAGTTTGGTGACGACTCCAATGCAACACTAAAAAACCTGTATGGACGATGTTCTCGAATCTCAAATCATTTTCATTGCTTTTCGGTGACGTTGGCATTGGTCTACGTTGGAAATTCGGTCTATACGCGGCTTTAGAAGACCTAAATTTCTTAGGGAGATATCTGCTGACTTCCTATGTAGATTATGTCAGCAGAACGAAACTCCTATTCACATAATACGTCATTGCCAGAACCTTAAATGGAAACGGGAATGGTACTTTGGGGTATAATATCCGGAACCTGAAGAAATCTCGAAAGCGCCCACCAGATATATTCTTGATTTCATCAAGAATACGAGATTTATTCTCTTTCCGCTGAGCGATATTTTTGTAGCAAATTTTGTCTGACATTTCACTAGTTGTTTAAAAGTTTAGTTGGATGCAATTGTCAAATATACCCGATTGTTTGTAAGTTACATAAGTTTAAAATAATCCTTTCGACAGTAAGTGATGAAAATAAACAAGGAGCATTATCAGTCTGTGATTTTTAACAATTTCAAGCGTGGTTTATACGGTAAAGAATGTATTGAGGAAATCAATCGAGTGCTTGGTAACAAGTCGTGTTCCTTCGCTACCGTAAAGCGGTGCTAAAATGAATTTCAACGTAGTCGAGTTACCTTCAATGACAGTTTATCTAGCTCCGAACTCAAAAACGGTAGTTACGGAAAAAATATTGATCTTATTCGGAACATGATTAAAAAGGACCGACACATTACTGTCAGAAGCATTCAAGCAAGTTTAAAGATTGGCGTGAAAGGAATTGACACTATTTTACATAAACATTTGAAAGTCCGTAAGCTTTGTTCTCGGTAGATTCCCCACAACTTGACTTAAGAACAAAAAGAAGTCCGGGTGGGATGGTGCATATCTACATCGCTTTGACCGTGAATCGTCCAATTTGATGTAGAACATCACAAGTGATGAAACATGAGTATGATCCCGAAAAAAAAAAAGCAACAGTCGTCAGTTTGGTTTGAAAACTAATCGGCGCCAATAGGTTGTTCGTGAAAAAAAAAACGCAACAGAAAGATGGGCGCCAATTTTTTTGAAATTATTGAACAATTTTCCACTGTAGCACTGGAGGATTCTGAATGGTACACTACAATTTGTTTGCCTCAGGTTCTCCAAAAGGTTTGCGAAAAACGTCCAAGAGAAAGAATCATCTTGCATCAAGATAACGCTCGGGCTAACATTGCTGCTCGAACAAATACGGATTTGAATGCTCAAAACAGAAATATTGAGTCATTCGCCGTATAGCCCAGCCCTACCGACTTCTTATTTCGACGGGTAAAGGATAAAATACGGCGTTTACATTTTACAACGACCGAAAAAGCGGTTGATGCCTTTAAAACTGAAATAAACAAACTACGACCATAAAGATTGGAAAAATTATAAATGTTTTTGTATATAAACTATGTTTTACTTTGCTAGCCTCAAAGGAAAGAGAACAACCCTCATATCAATACAAATTTTTAGGAAAGAAATATATTAAGAGTTACTTACTCGGTAGACACTTGTATGGTTCACAAAGCGTCTTCGGATCAATTTTTATATCAGCAATGGCGAACTTCTTAGCCGCTTTCGACGCTGGTAACGCTATAACGGAGTAATCCAATAATGGATGCGAGCGGTCTTGATGTAGGAATACGTAATTTTTTAGACACGCCCGGTACAAACAATATGAGCAAGCATATTTGCAGTTAGCGTGCCTAATGTCTATATGTATGGCTACATGTTCCCAAGGAGTTTTCAAATCGCAATACACGCATGGTACCATGTAGTCCTTATCTAGATTATGGGCTTTCAAATGTCTTTCTAAAAACTCTCTGAAATTCGTAGTGAAAACGCAATAATAGTAAGGACATTTGTACAAATTTCCAACGTCTTCAATAAATTTAGCCAAGGCTTTCTGAGTTTTCTTCGGTCTTGCAATTTCAGCGGCTGTCATTTTAGCCTCTTTGACTAAAATCGGTACGGCAGGTTTTGCGATAGGCGTCAACGGTGGAAGCTGAGGCTGAGCCTGAGGTTCGGCAAGAGACATAACACCCGAAATTTTAAATGGAAACGGATTATCCTCGGCTTGGTCATTGGCATCCGGACTTTTATTTTCCGTATCCAAACCAGCACTTGGCTCTTTAATATCGGTCATTTCACTCGGCGTAACCTTTTCCTCGGGCTCCTCGTCCTTTTTGATCACAGATAACGCATCGCCGCTAAGTTTTCTGATTCTCAACATGCGGGCAGGCGGTTTAGTAGAACGATCATTGCTCGTTATAAAATCGGCATGATGCACGATTGTATGTTTAAACAAGTTTTCTAATAGATTAGCATCATCGGTTGTATTTATTTCCATGCCGCAACTTTCGCACAACGTCGAACTCCGTCCTGGGACGCCGTAAACATGATTCTCCTTACAGTGTATTTGAAATTGGTCCTGATTCTCGGTCGAAAAAACGCACGGCGGTACTAGACAAGAGAATGTCGTCGAATCGATAGATTTAATAACTTTCAATAAACCGCATACTTCTAAAGTTTTAACTGACGCATCGGATGGTATGATGTTGGTCAGTTCGTTGACATGGGTTAGAGGAGGTGGGCCGTCATTATCATCGTCGGTTTCCATTTCGTTTAATTTGAAATTATCATCGGCATCTAACTTTCCTCTGAGTTTTTCTATCATGTTCATGATGTTCCTATCGTTTTTCTGAGCAACATCGAAAGTAGGAGTAGTTACATGCGAGTCTACAGATTCGAGTATCTGTTTTTTTACTTGTACAGGTGTTTTTTCCATCGAGACCGAAGTTGATGGATTTTTCTCTAATACGGGCATCGGTATTGGAGATTTATTTCGCACGCTCAGGTACATAGTATCTATAAAATCATCTTTAGGTTCCTCTTTCACCGGTACGTCTTGATTAAGGCGATTACACAGTTTATCTGTGAAGTTTAAAGAGGTTCTGGAACCGAAAGATTTATTCAGTTCGTCCATTTTTTGCAGTCGTTCTTGTTCGATTTTTTTATTTTCTTCCTGAATATCTGTATTACAAGTAAAAACGTTCATTTCTATTTCTTTTTTAACCACTTTCGCCAAATCGTAGGGTGTGGGCGCTGGAGATGGTTCATTAACGATTTCTTCGCGAACAGAACTAGCATCTGTTTCGGAGCCGAGAGTTTCTTCAACAACTGAAGAACTTTTATCCGAGCTAGCATTATCTTTAATTTCTTCTTTTTTATTGTTAGTATTTAAACCTGTCTCTGCTTGTGCTGCTTTAGTGTTTTTATTTTCTTCCGGGATAGACTTTTTTCTGTGCGAACCTTCATTTACTTCCATAATTTCTTTTAATTTTTCTTGAGCCTTTTCTTTGGCAGCTCTTTTGGATCTAAATGGTAGTATCTTTTCGGTGTCTAACGTAGCATCGGCTCTTGAGAATTTTGGTTTGTCAATGATAGTTTTGGGAATACTAGCTTCACTGACTACTGCCGAAGTTGGTTTAGGAATTGAAACGGAAGGTTCGGAATTTTCCACGATTTTTTTCCTCGATTTAGGACCAGGTTTGTTGCGGATAGGCTTTTTTATCTTTGGCGGTACTTCCGGAGTTTTGACGCTTTCTGAAATATCAGGATCTGCTGGTAATTCTTTACTGACCTTTTGTTTTTTCTCATTGGATTCGACCGTTTTTTTTACATCTGCCGATTTAGTTTTAATTTCGGCTTCTTTTTGTGAAGATTGTTCTAAAGCAGCTTTTTGTCTGTCTTGTTTTTCTTCATAAAATTGTTTAATTTTCTCATCCACATGGGATGATAAATTCACTTTATAGATTGAGGGTTTCTCTAAATGATAAATGTTCACGTGCTCGTCCATGTTGGTTTTACTAATCTGGACATAATTACATTCACCGCAAAGGTAGCCAAATTGGAAATTGGAATTATAGGCTTTTCGTTGTACTGGTTTGCTGTACTCTTGCTCTGGATGGGAGTTTTGTATATGCGACTTAAGACTTTTAGCATTACAAAAGGCAGAATTGCACGAAGGACAAACATGTCGATATTCTCCAGTATGCGTTGATAAGTGGTCGTAAAATAATGTAGGAACAACGGTTGTATTGAAATCGCAGAAGCGGCAAATATAAAATATTTTGGTACTGGGTCTTATATCTTGGTACTTCTCGTACCTGTCCATATTCTTTTTAGCATCTTCTATCGCCTCGGCTGAAATGGCGGGACTAAATCTAGAACTCATCACTTCAGATTCAGGATGAGTAGTCTTATAATGAGTAGTTATAAATTTTCCTTGGAATTCACACAATCTACAAGCGTATGTTTTTTGTGATGCGAAATTAACGTAATAATTCTTATCTGGTGTTAAAAAGTCGCCCATGGTATGTTCAGGATTTTCTTCTGGTTCTAGTTCTGGTTCCGGTTCTGGAGATTTTTGTGACGTTGAGTCGTCAGCGTTCGACTGCTTCTTTTTCTTCTTTTTAATTACTCCACTAGCCCAACTACTTTTTAAACGTTTTCGTTTTCTTTCTTTGGATTTCTGAGTATCCGTTGACGTTTGGGATAGTGTATCTTTTTCGGTGTCACTATTTTCATCGACGGTATCTTCTGCGCCGCTGACTTCCTTACTCGAACCTGAAATCTCTTCATCTTCTTGTCCCTCTACTACCGTCATACTTCTAGTAAGTCTTCTAGCTACCGAAGTCTTCTCCATTTCTGGTATTTTTTGAATCATTACCCGTACATTTTTCATAGCTTTGACTTCACTTTCGTTAGGAGGTTTATGTTTCGGTTTAGGTCCTGGTTTTTTGCGACTTTTTACGACTACTGCTGCCGCTTCTTCTTCGTTCGTTGTAAGTTCTGGTTCGTTGGTTAGAACACACGGATCGTCCTTCAATAAGTTACACATTCGCCTTCCAGAGGCTGTTAAAACTCCGTCTCTAATGAACATTTCTTGTATGTCCTCGTGGAGCTTATCTAATTCTGATCTACATTTTTTCTTTGGTCTACTAGCAATTCGTCTGCGTGATTTTATTCGTTCTCCGACACTAACAATGACATTTTCGGCTGATTCGACTAATGGTGCTTCCGCATCGAGTATATCTTCAATGCTTTCAGAAAGAACCGATGTTTCAGTGCTAGCAATTGATTTATCTATTGAAGATGAACAAGAAGAAATTCGTCTCGATCTAAGTTTTCGCTTGGAAATGTTGGGTACAATTACTGGTTCAGTTGTTTCGTCTTCATGTTCAATTGTTTTATTATCGTCTACTGTTTCAATTTGCTCGACAGTTGCTTCTTTTGTTTCTACTGTAACATTTTTATTATCATCCGCGTCTGCGGTTGGTTTTTCTTCTTTTTCTTTAGGGTGCTCGTCTTCATCAGAAACGGCGTCTTCTTCATTTGTATTAATAATTTTAGTAATTTTTTCTAACTCTTTGGTACTAAATGTATCTGAAAAAGTACTTATGAGTGAATAGAGTGCAGTTTTTTTATCCTTTTTGTTCTGACTCGACAGAAGATTACTGAAGAAATGTGCTAATATTGTTTGTTCAGTAGGCGGCTTTGTCTCTTCGTTCTTTAGTGAAGTTTGAGGCTGAGTAACGTTTTCTGATTCGGGTTTTGCTTGTGCATCATGTTCGAGGTCTAATATAATTGTAGGTTCTTCTACTACAATTTTTTGTGGAATATCAGTATTTTCTTTATCACTTTTTGTTTCTAAATTACTTTCAGTATTTGATTCAGGAGTTGCTTTGTTGTCTGTAGCTTTATTATTTTTATATTCTTGATCTAGTTCTTTCTCAGACTGTTTTTCCACACTAGGCGATTCATCTCCACTTACACCTACATTATCATTATCGATTGTGTCTTCGGATAAATCGATTATCTGTGGTTTCTTTTCTATTATTTTCTTTTTGGGAATCCGGAAAGGTTGAACGCCATACCCCTTTCCAGTTCTATGTTCTTCTTTTCCAACATATAAGCTATCTAACGGCGATATAAATGATTCTTTTTTTTCTGCGGTCGACTTAGATTTTGAGTCAGATCTCGTCGAACGTGAATCATCTTTATTTGTAGTCGAGTAAATACGATCAAATTTGGTAGATTCGTATCGACTTCGTGATTTACCCCTTTCGGAATCACTACCTTCTTTACTCAGTCTAGGATCTCTAGTAGCTTTTTCGGGGCTGTCTTTGATTTCTCTCTCTTTAGATTCTCTTTCTTTAGATTCTCTTTCTTTAGATTCTCTTTCTTTCGATTCTCTTTCTTTCGTTTCCCTTCCTTTAGATTCTTTCTCTTTTAGTTCTTGAAATTTATCTCTATTCATTCTTGGATCTTTTATTTCACGATCTCTGTTTTCTGAAGAGTCTCTAGGATCTCGAACTCTATTTTCTCGGATGTCCCTGTTCTCCCAAGGATCCCTCATGATTTCTCGAGGATCCCGCGCGATTTCTCGAGGATCCCTCGCCATTTCTCGAGGATCCCTCGCCATTTCTCGAGGATCCCTCGCCATTTCTCGAGGGTCCCTCGCCATTTCTCGAGTATCCCTTGCCATTTCTCGAGGATCTCTCGCCATTTCTCGAGGATCCCTAGCCATTTCTCGAGGATCTCTTACCATTTCTCGAGGATCCCTAGCCATTTCTCGAGGATCTCTCGCGATTTCTCGAGGATCCCTCGCGATTTCTCGAGGATCTCTCGGGATTTCTCTAAGATCCCTAAAATCTCTGGTTTCTCGAGGAACCGTACGCTCTCTAGGATCTCTAAGCAGCCTCGGATCCCTTGTGTTTTCTCGCAATTCTCTGTGTTCTTTATACGTCATCGGGCCTCTGAATCTTTGTTGTTCGAATTCTCGGCGATCCCAAGTGGGTCTGTTGTCTTCGAGCCGCCACCTTAGATCTTCTTTAGGGAGAAACATGTCTCTGTTCATGACGGTTCCGAAATTGTGTTTTTGTTCGTAGAAATGGGGCATTTCGGGCGACAATAAAGGCGGGCCGGCGTTGTAAGGGCGAGAAGAAATACTTTGAGGCGCTTGATAATCTAACAATGGCGGCGGACCTGGATCCATGTGATTCTGATTATAATTATTATAGACGGGATTGAACATTTGATTTTGTTGAGGTTGAGGCGGCATAAATCTGCTGCTTGAAATGACAGATATCGTTTGTTCGAAAACTGGTCGCCTATTATGGTTTAGAGTGTTGAATTCGTCTCTCGCATAGTCAGATATGAAATTATCTCTCGGAGACATCAGTATGGATGGACTAACGTGCGGATTAGGTGGATTACATAAAAGAGATTGTCTTTGAATTAAATTATTCATTAGAGGTTTGGGAGGATTTATATTCGTATGGGGAGGATTTATATTTATATGGGGAGAATTTATATTTGTGTGAGGATGATTTATATTTGTGTGAGGAGGATTTAGGTTGGCCTGTAGAGTTCTAAATAATTCGACGTCCATTTGCTGCGCGCATTTAACCAAACTAGCAGGCGGTGGTGGAGGCGGTTCAGGTTTGGGCATAGGTGGAAGTTTCGGAGGGGAAACTTTCATATTAGCTTCTATAATGTCAGTTACAGCTTTATCTACATCAGCGTCCACGTTAGATTTTCGAGGTTTCGGATTGTACTTATCAGCTAATCGTTTATATGGTGTGTTTGGTTCAACTTTAGGTTCACTCATGGTCCCAATTTTACTTGGAATTGGCGCAGGCTGTGTATCTAAATCATCATAGATGAAATCACATTCAGTTTTTATTTTTTCTACGGTAGTAGTATAAGTGTTAGATCCTAATTTATTCTCTCCAATTTTTAAATCTGCATCATTATTCGCAGCTTTAAATTCCTTTTCTTTATTAAATTTGTTTCCAAATAAATCGAAATTTCTATAGTTGCTTTCGTCCTTTGTCGAATTTTTTTCTTCTTTGGCGTTCCTTTTTTCTTCTTTCGAATTCCTTCTTTCTTCTCTGGCGATCTTTTTTTCTTCTTTATGGATCTTTTTATCTTCTTTAGATTGCTTTTTTTCTTTGGAATGCTTTTTTTCTTCTTTGGAGCTCTTTTTATCGTCTCTAGAGCTTCTCTTTTCGTCTTTGGAGTTCCTTCTTTCTTTCTTACTATCGGTAGATTCTTTTTTACTATCGTTAGATTCTTTCTTACTATCGTTAGATTCTTTCTTACTATCGTTAGATTCTTTCTTACTATCGTTAGATTCTCTTTTACTATCGTTAGATTCTTTCTTACTGTCGTTAGATGTCCAAGTCTTTTCAGTAGAACTCCGCCTTTCAAATTTCTTTTTGGTGTCTCCAATTATCTTTTCATCGATATTTGAAAGAATACTTCCGAAGATGCTAGCGGGTTCTTTCAAGATTTTTGGGCTTGCTTTTGGTTTAAGAATAAGGGATATAGGTTTCTTTAAATTGCTTTTCTCATCAGACGTTTTTGTATCAGTGTTGTTTGAATTTGCGAGAGATGCCTCAAAAAACGTATCGATCTTTTTAGTAGCATCACGAGCTGTCGTGTTGCTATTTACCGGATTAACATTAGAGTCCACGTTAGTGACAGTCGTAGACGTAGTTGGCGTAATAATAGATTTAATATTTTCGAAAATGAGTTCTGTTGCGATCTTATTTCTAATAGCGTTCAATTCTCTCAGTGAAGCGTTTTCGTTAATTTTTTCACGTACATCAACTTCTAAACATTTCAAATCGTCAAGACTGATGGGGGGTTTTGAAAGATCCGCTACTTTTCCTGAATGGCGGGGACTCTCTTGTAATTTGGATCGCCTCAAGCTTTCTGCAGCACTGCTGTAAATATCAACTTTCGGGATATGCGATTTAGGTTCCGATCTAAAAAATGTGTTGCGATTAAACTACAAAAAAATGTTCATTAACAACAATAACATACCTTTCCGTTGGTATTGTTACGGCTTTGAAAAAATTATGTTGCTCGGGCGTAGGGCTAGAGGGAGTCGATACAGGACTACGATCGGAATCCTTTTTTGGGACAAACGGTTTGTGGTTCTACAAAAAATCGTAATTAGGAAATCATAAATATCTAGGAAAGTTAAATACTTACTACTTTTAAATACAACTTAGTGATGACATCTTCGCATTTATTGAGTGTTTCCAGTTTTAATCTGTAAAAGAAGGGTATTGTATAGTGAAAAATTATAGAGAAAATTGTTCAGTTTTCTAGCAATGGTCAACGGATGTTAAGAAGAAACAAATGTATTTTCCAGGAAAACCTATTGGTTGATAGCAGCCCTAATATGGAATTTGCACATAACAATCTTGGATTAACATCGTCTGTATTTAACGATATATTGTATACAATGCAAAAAAACAATAATTTATTTATTCATTTATTTGAAACAAACAGGCACATCACAATTTACGTTTACAATTTTTCTTAAGTATCAACATAATATTAATAATCACACACGATAATAATAAAAATAATAACACGATAGTGAAAGAACCGTGAGAACTGCAATGTCTCCCCACCAAATCGTATGATTCTAAAAGTTCTCTGCACTTCTGATAAAATACGGTTATTATAATTCTAATTATTTACAAATACAATCAATATGCACATAACTGTATTAATTTAAAATTAACAAAAATAATTACTTGTACAGTCGGCGCAACCCAAATATGATCGCTCTTTGGTTGTCATAGGATTTTTTACTGTAAATTTGGTTTTGGCAAGTGGTGTAAAAAGATAGAAGGAAGAACCTAAATTTACCCAAATAACACACAAAGTCGTGGAAACATATCGGCGACTATAAAAGCCCCCCTAAAGTGGACAACTACCATAGATGGTTACGTCCCTGCTAAATGGCAGCTATATAGCCGTTACTAAAATATGGAATCGCCGACTAGTCCCAGGTCTCTATAGAATCAGATGTGACTATACTTATACTATAAAGGATCGGGGTAGAAGTGGGTAGGTATTTCGCAGATTCTGTCTAGCCATAGTCAAGTATTTGTTGCTGTTGTGTTGTCAGGATAACTTAGATCTCTGCAGCGTCTTGTTTCATCCCATCTTTCCGTGAATTTCACGAGGGAATATTCTTTAATTATATTTGTCACTACGGATGTTGTCCATCCAATAGAAGGGCCAAATCCAAACAGTATTTAGTTGTCTGCCTTCTTAAGGTAACCGCATTGTTGATGGATATTTCGGCCAAAGTTTAATGACGTTCTAGTACTAAACCTGAGTAAATTCCTGGTCTGTCCAAGGCGAATAGTGCTTGTCTGCTACCTGTATAGATGATCATGTTCCTTCCAGTTATATTGTTTCTGGTAACTTCATTTGCTCCTGAGAATCCCTATAAGTCGGTTTGAATTGCATTGCCACTATTGCTCACGGCCCATTTTATGTTTAGGTATAAGGATCTGAAGTATATTCCACATCCTAAGCCTTGTTTTGTTTTAGAACCATCGGTGTGGATATGAATCGTACCAGCCACTTCCAAGTCTTCAATTTGTTCTAACTTTATATGGATTATGGGAGGTATATACCTTGGTGAGATAGAGTCCATGTTTGCTTGAAATAAGTGGAAGCGTATCGAGCGCCTCGTGCCAAAAGCGACGTCTCGCCTCACTAGATTCTACATTAGGTTCTATTCCAACCGTGTAGAGTTGTATCATTGTCATTAGAACAACCTCCTTGATGTGAATATCAAGGGGAATGAATATAAGAATGACTTCTATGGCTCCGATTGTAGTTGTTTTCATGGCTCCGGTTATATTGAGACATGCTGTTGTGGAATAACTGTTCTTTGAGTTTGGTCTAGTTTGTGGATAGCTGTCGATTGTCTATTGTCTAAAAATTTTAGCAACGATTAACAATGACCTTTAAGAAAGATACTATCAAGTTTGGCCCACCACTATAAAGTTCTCGAAAACCTATAGTGACCTAAAGTCAAAATAATATAGTAGAAAAAACTGTAAAGCATCAACAAGAACTATTGCGACTAAAAAGTCACTTTAAAGTTTCAAATGATGGCCATTGGAACTATTCTGGGACCATTTTGCCTCCCTTACTTAATTTAGGTATATTAGTGGCACTTATTTACTGGTAGTTTTTGCCACTATATAGTAACAAAATGATACTGTCCCGTTACAGAAACTACCCAAATGTTACTATGAATAAATTCTAGGACCTTTATACCTATTTATGTACCCAGTTATTTAATTTAGGCATATTAGAAGCACTAGTGGATGGAAGTAACTAATTCACTGGCACTACATAGTTTATGCCGCTATATAGTAACAATAAAATGATAGTGCCCATTTCCAGTAACTACCCAAATGTTTCTTTGACTTTAGGCGTCTATACATCGGTAAAATAAATGGCACCGGTGTGGTAGCAGTTACTTTTCAAGAACTAATAAAGTAGCAATATTAGTTAATACTAGGGTGTACCCCAGGAACTAAGGCTTTGTAGCAAAACCGAACCAGAAGGATTTGTTACCAAGTGTGTTACTTGGATACTGAATGTCTGTTTTGCTCTCTTACCTGAAATCGACCAGTTTGCGCTCTGCGATTTTTATAATAGACTTATTTTTTCTTTTCTTCGATTGCTCTCTTGCAATATAATTTTAAATTCATATCAAAACTTTAATGGGAAAAGAAAAATTTTGAAAAACATTTTATACTATAAGAAAAATCAACCATTTTCCCTTTTAAATTTGTTAAATACGTACTTTATTTTTTGTTGTTAATGTATGCCATTTATGATTTATTAGAAAATGGCTTAAAAATATATTTAATACAGGTAACTTGTGTAAATCTTTGATATTTGTAATTTGGTGTTTTTCTTAAGGACGCCACAGCATTTCCGGATTTTGATAATCCGATTTAAAATTGAATTTTAGTTAATCCTTTCCTACGCAGATGTAGCTACACTTTTTAACCTCAATATTGTGTCTATTATATCGCAATAGTTGTTCGGCAAAATAATACACATAACCGTACTTTTATTTCGCATTTCCAGAAGAACAATGACGCAAGTGAAAATTAATGATTCCACAGCAATAGCAAATTAAAAAAAAAATGAAATATTAAACTTACAACTAAGATGTTAAGGAAAAGTTTGGAAATAATCGATGGGGACTTCTAGATAAAAAATTTATTTTAGTTTCAGACAGAACTACTTTATTTTATGCTTTTTGAAACAATTGAAGATTTATAGCCCTTAAAAGTTAAACCTGCACTTGCGTCACTGTTCTTCCGGAGAAGCGATTTTATGTTCTCAGTTAAGTTGGTCTGGTATAAAAGATCTGTCAACACCTCGTATTTGTAGAAATATATTGTTAGGCAATCTACCAATTCTATAGCAAGGTTTTTCTCGTTTATGGGGAATTAAATATTTAGGTGTCTAATTGGGGTCGCAGGTACCTACTTGGGATAAATTCTTATCGTAAGAATCTTTTAGTGGCATTGATCCTACAACATATATTATAAATAGGAAGGCATATTTACCCCAATTTCCAAATAATGGTTGAAATAATATATTTTTGGTTTGAGTTATCAATTTGTGCAATAAAAATACTGTTATATCTAACAAATACGTTTAAATATGGAAAACTTTTTTATTATTGGTTTTGTGAAAATTTTTATTCCTGATTAAAAGTTCTGCATCGTCCAAAACTTAAAATGCAACCATCAGATATCAATTTTTTTAAGCCGTATACGTGGTTTGTCAAAAAATATAAAATTTTAAATTAAAAGTTATATTCAAATATGCAGTTCTTTAGCATGAAAATTCAGGTTAGGTGATTATTTACGTTTTACATTATAAATTAATTGTAGTTATAAATTAAATAATTACCAAACCTAAATTTTAATGCTGAATTTCTGTAATTGCATATTTATTTGAATATAATTTTACTTTATAACATTCTTCTGTATTGAAAAAAATATGTTCGACATTTTTTTGTATTTGTCATACAGTGTCTATTTAAGTTGGAACCATATGGAAATTTTTTTTATTATTCCCTAATAACACTGATCTGCCAGAAACATCTCATTTAGGTTATATGTATGTTTCTATGTTTCTGACATAAATGGTACGTCCCTACGATGTTTCTAAACCCACATAACATCAATGTTCTATGAATATACTAAGAACGTTTTGTTTATGTTCTTTTTGGTATGTCCTTTCTAGAATGTTATAGAATGTTCTTTGAAAGTATATTCTAGAAAGTATATACTGAGTATACGCTTTGAAAGTATATTCTAAAAAGTATATGGGTGATTCTCGGATAACTGTGATTTTTTTATGTCCGGTATTTTATTTATCATTTAGCATAAGTTTTTACCTTCGTAATTTTTTTAAGCTGCACAAAAATATACTCGAAATATCAGTACCGTGGCATGTCCGATTCTCATTTTTGAAATTAAATATATAAATTTCTATCAAAATTCATTTTTTAATATAAAATGTACCTCTTATGGCGGTTTTCCACTAAACGGACTAAACAAGAACAAAACATAAACTTGTATCGAAAAAACAAACTGCAACTTTTTGAAGACTGGCGTATTTTGCGACTGTTGCAGTTTTGTTTCTCGCTCCCCTAGGAAACGGTAACATCAAAAGGTTTCAACGTGTATTGAAACTCGAGTGTTTATTAGAAACGGTCGTGTTTTGTACCTATAGGTAAGTAAATAGCGTATTTATTTTAAAACGCTGGATATATTTATTAGTAGAATATATTATATAGTACCTACTTATTTTTTCGTGTTAAGCATACGACTAATATATGGCAACAGGGCAACAGTCAGTCGTCGACTAGAATTAAAAGTTATGGTGGTGGGATATTAGCCGAATCGAATGTTAGACATGAAGCCAGAGAACATAGCGATAGCTTTTAGTAAGTGTTTGTTGATTGGATATCGTAGCTGACACATGTTGGTTCTGAAAGCACGGCTGTGCCTAATACAAAATATTAAGTACTGTATATGTATTAGGCCCATTGTGCATCCTCCTGAGATGAGCCTCCTAACTCGTGAGCCAGCCTACAGATCAGGGCCATACTAAGTTGAGTCCAAATATTGTCCCTTTTATATTTTATCATGTCACATACATCTTTTAAACTACTTTTATATGTATTTTCAGTTTGGACCTATC